AATCCTTAGATTTCGGGAACACAAGGACCAACACGAAAGAGGGGGTCTCCTCTATTACTTCAAATTAATGTGTAAAATGCCATGTTTGAAATGTTCATGCATGCAGTTGTGTTTATGTTTGGGGTACAATTTGCCGTTTTTCTCACTTGGATCTTTCCAGCTTCGACGGGCACGGTAGCAACATGATCTCAGTTAACTGGTCTATGATTTATAAAATAAATAATTAAATTGACAACCACTCACTGTTTATACAAAAGATAAGAAACATAAAACACACTCCTCTTTACCATCGGAACTTGAAAAATTATGAATAATACAATGTACGACGATGTAGTCAGTACTCACGGTTGAAGGGCAAAATGTCAGTAAAAACGATGACACCGCCAAACTAGCCCATTGTATTTTCTATCGGTAAATTAAATGCCTTACGATGAAAGGACCCATGTCACGTTAATGATGCTCTTTGATAAATTACCCTTTTCCCCATTGCTATAACATTCAGCAGTATTTCACCCAAGGACCCAATCTTTGGCGCACTCCGTCATTGCAGGCCATTAATTTTTGCCGTCAGGGGAGGGACTCTTTTTCTGACACACGCCGCGTCTGTGGTCATTGTACTTTTTTGATTCTTTGTGAAAGTGCTACTTTTGTCACATTTGCTTTGGGGAGATTTTTGAGCATATTGTCTGTACAGCATTCCTGTCTTCAAATATGGCGTGGTTCACAGCAAGCTCTATTCAGATACTTGTCTTGATTTTCATCAATTTAGCAAGCTGTTGGGCCCTCTATGCCTCCTGCCCGCCTGGCTGGCTGAAATGGCAGCAATCTTGCTACATCCGACTCCCTAACAGGATGAATTGGTTTGAGGCCTCTGAGGCTTGTAACCGGCCGGGGAGCAGCCTGGTTGTACCCAATTCACTAGAGGAAAACACCTTCGTCTGGGAGTCGATGGCGAAAGGCGCTGGTGGTCTCTGGATTGGCTGTACGGATGCGGCTCAAGAGGGTGTCTGGCTGTGCGATGGTCAACCTCCACAATACACCATTTGGGACGAGAACCAGCCAAGCACCGGGGACAAATTTAACTGCGCACGTATACCTAGACCTAAACGCCATGGAGCTTGGAGCTGTGACATTAAATGCAGCAAACCAAAGTTTGCCGCCTGTGAGACGTCGGCCTCCACGGTACCAGCCTACCACACCTTCACCGTTCCCGATGGGCGTGTCTCCCAGCGATGCCTCCATCAAGAATCTGACGGCAGAGGGCTTGCTTGCCTGCGGCTGGGCATGCCGGGCCGATCCCCGCTGCCGCTCCTTTAATCTGTGGCAGATCAGTAAGAGAGAAAAGATGTGTCAACTCAATGACGTCACTCGTCTTGTGGCTGATGGCAACGACTTCAAAGCAACCAACAACTGTTATTACTTTGACTTGTAAAACTGGGGAGATTTTAGCAGCTTGGGCCGTGTTGCCGCATTGATGGGAACAAAAAAAATGACATGAAAGAACAATTGGCTGATCAGAATGAACACTATACGTTCACTAAAAAAAATAGTGTGTAAATATATTATTTAAAAAAAATCCAGAGCCATATTTGTTAGAGTTACTGATTAGAAAAGAAAAAAGCAGGTAAGTCAAACCAGTTTAGCAGGTGAGAACCATGCAGCAAAAAATATCAGTCATTTGAATTAAAGTAAATTTTACCTTTGCAGTGATCTTACGAAACTGGCATCTTATTTTGTTCATCCGTCGTTTACTTGAAGAATATGATTTATAGAAATGTACATGTGCGTCGCCGGGAAGGGGTAAGGGGGCGCTTCCCCCGCCCCCGGAAAAAAGCAACCCCCCCCCCCCCAAAGTAAAACAAATAAATAAATAAATAAAAAGAGGTGTCATATTTGCTATTATGGCTGAAAATCAAATTTTTGATAAACCGGCAATTTAGAATTTACATATTTTCATGCCTAAGTCACACATAGTTACTTCGTGAATGGTCTTCTAATGATGCCTGACCCTCGAAACATGGGCTTAGACACCTCACTTGTGTAGTTATGTGCAATATTGGCCGAGATATTGGCTAAAAATCAAATACCTGATAAACCGACACTTTATAATTTACATATTTTCATGCCAAAGACACACATAGTTACTTCGTGAATGGTCTGCTATTGATACTTGACCCTCAAAACATGGGTTTAGACACCTTACTGGTGAAGTTATGTGCTATATTGGCCGAGATATGCCAAAAACATGATTTTCCGGTGTTAGCGGCACTAATTTGCATATTCCTATGCCACAGACACATGTGGTCACTTCCAGAATAGTTTTATTGTGATCTCTGACCTTGAAAACATGGGTTTAGACACCTAGTTCGTTCAGTTATCTGCAATATTGGCTGAGATATAGTTAAAAATAGATTTTTCGGTAATGGCGGCACTAATTTGCATAAAAACAATACGTGGGACATGTTTTGAATTTTTTAACATAGCAAATCGTTTTCTACGCATTTTTTCTGACATAGAGACGTTGATTAGAAATTGATTTCCGAGGGTGCACGATACCCCCCTTTTCCGACTGAACTACATGGTTAGTCAAACCAGTTTAGCAGAGAACCATGCAGCAACAAATATCAGCCAATTTGTTTAAGCTGGATTCGTAAAATTAAAGTAAATTTTACCTTTGCAGTGCTCTTACGAAACTGGTATCTGGTTTTGTTCATCCGTCGTTTACTTGAAGTATATGATTTAATGTTCATGTTTAACTTGTTTATTTGATCATGTACGGTTGAAATTTGTACATATTGTGAACTTACCAGATGAGGATCATGCAGTAAGAAGTAACATACATCGTTTGATTTTGTTTAGCTTGTATTCGTTGTTTAAAATTAAAGTAAATTTTACGTTTACAGAGATGTTTAGAAACTGGGGGCCAACTTCATAAAGCTGCTTAAGCCAAAACTTTGCTTAAGCACAAAAAAACCTTGCTTAATACCGGCCAAAACACCATGTGATGTACATTGCTTGTGACTGGTATTTAGTTGTTGTATACTTAGCATAACAATCGCATGGAGTTGTGTTGGTTTAGCTGATTATATTAAGCACAGTTTTTTTGTGCTTAGCTTAATAAGCAAATGTTGTGCTTAAGCAGCTTTATGAAATTCCTGGCATCTGGTTTTGTTCATCCGTTGTTTACTCTAACTTATATGATGTATTGAAGTGTATACATGCTTTATTGAGAGAGTTTAGCAGACGCGAACCATGCAGCAAGAAGTAACATACATCGTTTAGCTGGTATTCGTTGTTTAAACTTTAATGCACGTTATTTTTACCTTTCCCAAGATCTTAAGAAACGAGCATCTGGTTTTGTTCATTCGTCGTTTACGCGATTGAATGAAATTTACATGTTTTACTTGTTTATTTTGATCATGTACGGTAAAATTGTACATAATTGAGAGTCTAGCAGATGAGAATCATGCAGCAAGAACTAGAAGTTATATAGATCATTGGATTTTTTTTGTAGCTGGTATTCGTTGTTTAAAATTAGAGCAAATTTTTTCTTTGTGGAAATCTTAAGAAACTAGCATCTGGTTTTGTTCATCCGTCATTTACTTGAAGTAATATCCGTGTCAAAAAACATGTTCTACTTTTGATCCTACATAAGTGGCTATTTTGTTTCGTGTGGCGTGTAGATCTCACCCTCTTGCACAAAGCTGATGAAACTCGCTCCATACAATTTGTCATGCCTTGTTTAAATGATCTGAAATCTTCCATTCCATAAACAACCGAGTTATTTAGGATCAAAAGTAGGACATTTTTTTTTGTTACACGTAGTTTATGATTTATCGCAATCTATATATAACTTGTTCATTTTCATCATGCAAGGTTGAAATTGTAGATATTGAGAGATGAAAAAAGTTTATATTTAAGGTAACGGACACCATTTGCAAATATTTTTAAACGAAACTGTCAAAATCATGAAATAGGATATTTCCAAGCAAAGAAGAATATATATAATTTCCTTCGAAATGGTTAGGACCAACCATCGCGCTTTGAACGGAAACCGGCTTTCGCGTTACGTCGAGAAAAATGAAAATGCAATTTCACTTATTTCTCATAAAGTATGATATTTGCTGAGCTGTAATTTGGACAGGTTGTTTTTTATTAATAACATGTTTTAGATTTGTATTGTTGTTCCTTGAATCGGCAAAAACACATTGTCTTTGCAAACGGTGTCCGTTACCTTTCACTAAAACCACTTCTGGTTGGTTTCATATTAAATTTATTCAAATTCATTCATTTATTAAAATCTGTGTCATCAAAGACAGTGCAAGGTTTATCCAATCTATTTATTTTCTGTGAGCCGAATTTCTTGAAGTGTTGACACAAAATGCTTTACTTGGAGTCCGCGTTTTGCATCCTGAGGTGAAGTTATATGTCAACACTATTACTTTTTGTTTGGCATATGTGGTGGTCATAAGCATGAGTTGGAAGTGCAAATTACCTTTCACCTGTCTAAGTCATTTAATCAATGCACAGTGTACCAAACAAAAAGAAAAACGTTCAAGTTGTTGTAGTATTTTTGCACTCCGTCGCCAGACAAAAACATGGTATTGTAACAACGCTGAGTCACAGAATAAATCAATTATCATTAAGAGTTAGGCCCGCACACTTCCACGAACAAACCCTGGAGTCTAAAACCGTGCACTGCTGTACCACGCACAACGTATTTATTAAATGTGTCAGTCATAAACGATGATGTCAATGTTTACAAAAAGTTGAATATTAACCGAAGTCAAACAAACCTCACATACCACTCTGTATACCGCGCCTGCCTCCGTCTGCACCACACGGCAAATTCAATGCTACGGCGAAATTTGCATAAGTTCATAATTCTCGTGGTGCACCGTTCCCGCCCAGTTCAACTACAACCTGCTAATCCGGCATTCCTATTGGTCAGTTCTAACAGATAACATTTTTGCCAAGCAGACAATCATCGCGTCTGTTCATAAACTAGAGTCCAAAGGTGCGATTTTGTGTTTGCATTCCTGAAACCAAGCGCCATTTTGTAAATTTTACACGCAATCCACACACTGGGTCAAATCATTGCTGTTTTTCAGAGCAACTTTTCTGGATTTTTGAGTTGAAATCTGTCCGGCAAAATGAGCGGGAGGGACCCAGGAAAGATCGACATGGATGACGACCAGCAAGAGGAGCGCACCATCACAACTTTCGAGAAATACGTCCAGTCCACATTCGCCGAGTTGGTGGGAACCATGTTCTTCACCTTCATCGCTTGCCTGGCGGTGACGACGCAGGATTTGGTGGCTATTGCCTTTGCTGAGGGCTTGGCTATGGCTCTTCTGTGTTCTGCATTCCTCAACATCAGGTTTGCTGGATTACTCATTGTTTTATTTTCAATCCATTTTGTCATTGTTCAGCACGTATAATTGTCAAGTATTTTTGTTGTCGTTTTAATCCATTTAATTCAGTGACGCGTAATTTCAAAATAATTAATTATTTCGATTTTTCCGTTCATTTTTCAATGATTTCTTGCACGCACTGGAACGCGACAGAAGAAAAAAAGAAAACGATGTCTTTTTGAAAATTATAAATGATTTTTAAAACCAACACATTTCAAATTATATAGGCCTATTATATCAAAGTTTGCAGAGTTACGATGTAGGCCTATGCATTTTGTCATACAACATAATTCCATTGTCAGTGTTTTGTTGAAGGAACATTGTACATGCATAGATTTAGTATCAAAGTTTCACTGAGAAATTGCCTGGGTTAATTTTACCCAAGAAAGGGTGAAAACTGCAACTACCCAAACTTGGGTTGTTCTATAATCAATTGTTTGGGTTAGAATTTCTGCTAATTTCAACAAATTTAATTTGGTCTTGTATGACTACAACTTTTGGTTGAATTTAACATAAATTCTAACCCAAACAATTGCTTATAGAACAACCCAAGTTTGAGTAGTTGCAGTTTTCACCCTTTCTTGTGTAAAATTAACCCAGGCAATTTTTCAGTGTTGATAAAACTACGACCTGATTCAGTAATTACTAAGAGAAGTTCAAACTTCCAAAAAAAATACTTAGGCCTGTTCCAGGTGTAAGTTTAGCATAATCTCATTTTGATAAAGTTTTGTGGGGAATATTCTAGATATTTTAAATATGAAGCTGAATGTTCCTGAACAACAAAAAAAGACTGAAACAAAACTAGGGAGGCAAAATCTTGTGTATTGTCAACCAAAACAGAGGAAGATACGCAATTTATAAAACAGAAGATTTCACGCATAATTGGCAACGAAATGAACAATTAAATAATCGCTACATGAACAACAACCAATCAGTCAGTTGTGGATAGGTCTCCCTTTTTGTTAGAAGTAATTATTCTGAAGATGGGAGGGAACTCAATCTCTTCTTTTTCTGTTGGTGGCAGCGGTGGGATCTTCAACCCAGCCCTGACCTTCGCCGTGTGTTTGTGTGGTGGCATCAGCCCGCTTCTTGCTGTGCTCTACTTCGTCGTGCAGATCTGCGGTGGAATGCTGGGTGCTGCCTTCGTCAAGGTAACCTGACTATTTATTTTGCAAGGCAGAGAGGGGCCACTCGTTTCCCCCTTTTTTCTCTGTTCAAATAAAAAACGTTTGTTTTTCGATAATGCTTTTCATATTATAAGACCCCAGAATCTCCATATATATATTTTGTATAACATTAAAGTACAATTATGATAAAATGTTTGTATCTGCTTCTGGGGACATTTTGTATGGTTACCTTTTCCAATGAACTTGGATCAAATAGCATTTGAAATTAGCTAATGGTAAAATATTTCAAAATATATCCCAGAATATCGTATTAGCCCATTTAAATTAGCACGATAACTGGAGACTTTTAGAAATATATCCAACTTTTTTTTGGGGGGGGGGGGGCGGTTAATGGCTTTTGAAAACTGGCTTTTGAAAGTGTGTAAATTAGTTGGTTTCAAATTCTCGTATGTGAAATTCAATTTTTTTCCGTACCTTCTTCAATTCAGGCCGTCTTGTTGGAGGATTCCTACTACGACATCCGCGGCGGCTGCAACAAGTTCCGCGGTAGCGTGCCGTACGACAAGTACGACTCTCTGCACGTGCTGGGCGTCTCCCCCGGTACCGCGGTGATCATCGAGGCCATGTTGTCTCTCTTCGTCTACATGTCCTACCTGCAAGCTAACATGGATAACCGCGGCAAGCATCTGACGGGACCGCTGGCTTACGGCTTCTCCATCACCGTCGGGATTCTCACCGGGTAAGCGAAAATATATTTCTTTTTCACAGTTCTTAACACCATTATAATCCCCCCTTTTTTTCGGGGGGGGGGGGAGAGGTCTAAGTGTTACTCAAAAGCGCACGGAAGCCTGAAGGACAATGAAGAAATTATCAGTTTTAGAGCTAGGTGTTGGAGAAAACCATGGACTGAAAACACACTACCGTATTCGTCGGCTCGGGTGGGAAATTCGAATCCGGGCCACAGAGAGCATTCTTTCAAGGCGTTTTTTTTTGTTTATAAGAGAGGTTATTTTGAGATCGTCCCAATCGAATCAAGTCACGTTCCCTTGAGATGAGTAAAACAAAATACATGAATATTTTGCCTTCATTTTGATACGGCGCTGCCAAAAGAAAAACAAAACACCAATTGGTCAAAATAATATGCCGGCAATAGTATACCGGCAATCTTCCCAAATCAGTTCAGATCAGGCCACAAACCTTGGTCATGAAGTTTATCCTCCAGTGTATTGACATGTTGATGTTATTTCCGTTTCAGGATGTATTCGTCCGGCGCCTCCTTCAACCCCGCCCGTACCTTCGGGCCCGCTGTGGCCTCGGGTTATTGGGATGAGCAGTACATCTACTGGGCTGGGCCGGTCATGGGCGGACTACTGGCAGGAGCATTCTACAGGTACTGTACCATAACAGATTATGTATCTATTTCTGTCGATTGCAAATTTCCCTTCATGTTTGTGTTATTGAAGTACAAGGATTTTTAAAAGGCAGTATGGCCTAAAACATCATTTCGATTCCCAAATTTTAGTTGCTAGAGTTTTGGATATTTTGCTGTCATAAATTTTCTTTTCTTTGGTGGTTCGTTGTAGTGTAAGTACATGACAGTATGCCAATGAGCAAGCCTTCCTCACAAATGTTTTCAATGAGCAAATTCTAGGTTCACAATTTGAACAGAATACCCCTAAACTTAACAGTGTCTTTCTGTAATAACATCATAGCAACAGCGCCCTCAGTTGTCCGGAAAAGCATGGAGAATTTTTAAATGTTGAAGGAAGCGCACTTTTCAATAAAATTAACCAAAAAGGGATGTCAAATAGTTTTCATACATTTAAGAGTAGCCTACTTGCAGAAAATGTGTTCCTAGGAAAAGTTCATCGCATCCCTTTAATTGTTATTCTGACGTCTTGTTTTTATTCGTTTGTAGATTCATCCTTGGAGACAGCAACAAGCGTCTTATAATGAGAGACTAGCGACAGAGAACGAGCAGCCCCAAAGCAGCTCGGCAAACTCAAGATGATCACGAAATGAACTGCTGCTCAGACAAAATTTGTAACTTCACGAAAATCGTAATAAATTAATTTTGTATTCCGTAATGCATTACAGTTTCTCTTTATCATTGGTGACTCATGTTGCGCACGAACTCCGTTGCGACAAATCCCCAATCTCAGTTGGACACACAATGGCTGCAAGTTATCAATCATATAATAGTGCACGCAAAACGCATCCATTTTGCGTCCAGCCTTAGCTTAGGGTTCATGTGATTTTGAACATTATTCTAGTCAACTCTAGGAGGGTATATATAAGCGACAAGGGCGGATCGGGGGGGGGCAAAGTGGGCCATCCCCCCCCCCCAAAAAAAAAAACGAACCCAACTTCCTTTTTTTTATGTGACGTCGCAATAAAGGCAGGCAATGAGGCCACCACCATCTTTTCCTAAAAAAAACTTTGGTTAAAGTGGTCAGAAATTGCCTCATATCGCACCACAGAGCATCTAGGATCCAAAAAAAGGAGAAAAATTGGCCCCCAAAAATTGTGTTCTAGAGCCGCCCTTGAAAAGCGAACCTTAATTCAAGGAAAACTGAAATGATTGGACAGATTTTAGTAACTATTTGGACAAGGAGTTTAAGATTTCCTATATATAGGCTTGTTTCAAAACTGCTTTTGGAACATTCGAAAGCAATACATTTTATCATATCCCGCGTTTTCCTTTTTAACTAAAACCGTCTATTTCATTTTGTAACTTACGTAGCAGCTGTCTGATATCACATAGTTTGTCAAAATAACAAACATTCCGTGGTTCGTTCATAGAAATGTTGACCTGGACGAAACAGTTCCTCTCAGTTGACCAACACAAACCAGTTTGCAGATAAAAGAAGGCATTTTATGGTATGTTTGCACGGAATTCATCAAGACTTTAGAAAAGGTGAAATTCATTATCAAAACAAGCTGTTTTCAATAAGATCGCCTGCGTTCCTCAGATTGATAGCCACTTAAGATCCGACCAAAAGAAAATCGGGCAAATAGGATTAGACGTGTGAAAACTTTAAAAGTTAATTTAGCTTAGTTTTCTGAATAGCACAATTTTCAAACGATTAGTAAATCATTAACATTGTTTTATTAATGGCATTTACTTTGATATTTAGTCATCTGTGAAAAAGTCAAAGATGTTAAAAGTTTGAAAAATCAAAGGTTTGTAAATATTGAAAAAAAAAATTTCATTGACTTTGATTGACTGATAATTATTTGTTTATACTAAGCCTTTTAGCTTCGTTCTGCTTTTAAAAATAACATGTACAGTATAAATGTAGCAGTGTTTTATATTATCCTTCATGCCAAGTTAGCTTTAAAAAAAAAAAAGGGAATTGAAACTCGAAAGTGGTATCAGTTTACCAATTTTTTTCCCCACATTCCACGTGGAAAGGACTTGTAAAAAGTTAGGTCGAGCTGAACAAAATGTTATGTCATCATCGTTATTGCTGCCGCATTTTTAGCTGGAGGTTTGTCAAACGTTCCTTCTCTTTTCGTTAAAACCCGGAGACTCAGAGTCGGTACAGAATTTTCTGAATTTCAGTTGTTTTTTTTCGCTTAAATGTATGCGTTTATTTGAAATTGGTTGTTTAGTTGTGATTTGGTTTAATTGTTTTTTTTTCCTGCGGTTTATAGTCCCAATAAAGAAAAGCTGTAAAACAATGAGCAAGGTGTAAAGATAGTGTCCATTTTGATACTCATATTTAAAAACGAGATATTTTCTGAATTCAGTGAGGAAATTTATGTTCTTGTTTCGAACCTGTTTGGAAGAGAAATGTTCACATGCGTGTACTTATGTCACGTAGTATCATCTTTGGCCAAAAGTAATTGAATGCATCTTTGCATGGGATCTCAATTTTTCAAATGTTGGCCAGCTACGCTCCAGCATGGCTTCAGACGATTTGACAGCTCTATGACTTGAGAGACAATGGCACCATAAGCTTCAGGAACAAAAGCGCTTATAATGTGAATGCCAAATGTAAAGTGCGATCATTTCTATTTTGTTTGGAGATAAAAGCGTTTCTTATTGATCCAAGAATTAGAAATGCAACCGAGTTAGAAAGCCGATCAAAAGAAATCCAGGTTTGGAAAATCCAAACTTCGCCCAATCATTATAATAATCTGTGTCAACAGATGGCGGTATATTAAACAGTCGCTGGTCTTGTTTCTGTACGTAGACTGGACGGTGTAGTAACGTGTTTTGCAGTCAGGTGCGAACTTCACCAGGGTAGCATAAAATGGTACGACAGTAGAGCGCGTAATGAATATGCATGACTATGACGTCACTAGAAGCTCATGAGTAATATATCACGCACGGTACTGATATACATGTGTATGTAGATGCACACTGTATGTGCTGCATCCCACTTACCGATGATATCACATTTAACAAGTCCTCTTTCTACTGTCGCGCCGCCACCCTCTAGTGTCGTCCCACTTACCGATGATATCACATTTAACAAGTCCTCTTTCTACTGTCGCGCCGCCATCCTCTAGTGTCGTCCCACTTACCGATGATATCACATTTAACAAGTCCTCTTTCTACTGTCGCGCCGTCACCCTCTCGTGTCGCCCCACTTGATGATCATCGGTAAGTGGGGCAAAAGTAGAAGGTGGCGGCGCGACAGTAGAAAGAGGACTTGTTAAATGTGATATCATCGGTAAGTGGGACGACACTAGAAGATGGCGGCGCGACAGTAGAAAGAGGACTTGTTAAATGTGATATCATCGGTAAGTGGGATGCAGCACATACAGTGTGCATCTACATGTACATGTAAATGTACATGTATATCTATCAGTACCGTGCGTGATATATTACTCATGACTTCTAGTGACGTCATAGTCATGCATATTCATTGCGCGCTCTACTGTCGTACCATTTTATGCTACCCTTCAGCAGGCGGGACATTCAACATCGATGAAACTCCTCGCAACATCACTGGAATTGAGATGCAAATTAACCCGAAATTGTCTCACCATAAAACAAAAATGTATGGAATGTGTGAGATTTCTCTACCACTGGTAGTGTTACCAGCAATTGGTAATCCCGGTTTCCCGTATATGTGTCTCGGTTTTTCCCGGGCGGACGTGAAGACAAGGACTCAAGGAGGCGTGGTTGTCATCAAGTTGCCGGGCCGAGCGATTCAGCGATTCTGCCGGTTGATTCGGAGATCCACCCAGGCACGTTGACTGCAAAATCACGGCCCTTTTGCCGAGACCTCTTGGTCCAATGTTCGCCTCAACTAAATCTTGATTTTTTTTAAACCAAATTTGAATTATTTAAGCCCTTGAGGTGAGTTGACTTCGTTATAAGTTATAGGCCTATATAGGTAACTGTAAAGTGTAATTGCAGAATTTGTGGATTTTTATTTTTGTTTCCTGAAAGTGAAAGCATGACAAGGAAAGATCGAAGACCTTAACAATAACATTAACAATGGTCTTGAACATAAATTCACTGCTTCCAATAAGTTCCATACATATGGTTTTTTTTTAATCGTTGATTGTTGCTTGTTTTTTTTCTTTTCTTTTGTTTTGTATCTGTTTAATGGAATTGCATTTCTAGTCAAAGATATTGAGTATTGAGCTCTATTTCCAACCCCCCAATTCCATCCATTTCTGAAAATTACAGCAAAAGCAAATGATGTATATTCCCTTTAAATTAAGACATGCAGATTTCCCGATCAATTTTTAATCATAATTGTTTGCTTGGATAGTCATCAACGACAGTCATCAAGATTGATTAATTGCCTGATTACTCAAATGCTGTGCTGCTGTACAGTTAAAGGGAAAATACAACATTTGCAAACATCAAAAAATAAAACTACCAAATCATTTTGAAATACCTTGCTGGACTGTTAGTGAATGACAGTGTAAAGCATCCTGTGAAATCATGGCACCTGGTATACTGTCATTTTCAAGAAAAGTGGTATTTTTGTATCAATTTCCAACGCTGATCGGCCGATCAGCGTTGGAAAAAAACTGGTTTTTTTTTCAAATACTGGCCCCAATTGACCATCGCACTTGTTTGCAATCAATTACAAACCTATGAACGGGTACGAGCCAGCTAGACTGGTTCCCTGACCTTACAATTCCCCAATGTATGTAAACTGCTCTGTTTTTTCTTATATGGAGTCAGGGAACCAGACTACAGGAAAATGATTGTTTTTCTTGGTTTTTATAGCATTTTCGAACCCAAAACCTCAAAAAAAGTCAGTGTAACTATATTTGCTATATATTTCCAAGCCCCCAATTCCATCCATTTCTGAAAATTACAGTAAAAGCAAATGTTGTATATTCCCTTTAACCGTACAGTTACTGTACTCCCAGTGTGCCCTTGCTGAGCTGAATGATATCACCCACTCCTCCAGGATGAAGGTCTCTTGTTTATGTGCAGTCTTGCTGTGGACCTGCTGGCAATTCAACAGCCCAGTAACAGCTTCCTCGGCTGCTGTTGATGCCTCGAGGGGCGGTGATCCTCAAACATATCTACAGGCAGAAGCGTCTAGGTTTACCAGGCAGCTTGACCAAGCTGCGATGGGAGAACATGGAAGATTTCAGAGGTACGGATGGAGGATGTGTGTCAAAATTGTGTTCATATCCTTCACTGAGTCCACCAAAGATGTTGAAATTCAAGTGGTATTTTACATATTAAGTCTAAATAACGGGCTGGTATGGTCTGATCAGGCTTTAGGTAATTGAAAGTATTAATCTGAGGAATTTGATGGAAAAAAGGTATGCTAAAAATGTTCCTTTTCTTGCAAAGGGAACCAACTGCGTGCTTTTCATGTGTAACTTGTGTGAAGCGATGTGTGTAAACAGTTATACTCTTACTCTTTCAAAGTATTCGCTCAACGTAGCCTTGGTACTTCCCAACTGATCCAAGGTTTTACGTTTACCTGGAGACTTGGAAAAGAACTTAGCTACAGCCCTGGTATGTGGTTCTGGGAGGGGGGGGGGGATTAAAAATATGGAAAAAAATGTTTGTCATTACCTTGATCCAGTCTTTAAAAAAAATATGTTTAATCAAAACTTCATATAATCTTTTTCGGTCATTCATTAGGCCTAATAAATGGATTTCGTCTCATTTTACAAAACAGGTCATTGAATGGTCTGCAGAGGCACAGGGTGAGGAGAAGCAGTGGCTCTGATTTCAGGCACGGCTTCTATCCAGCAACAGGGGTTGGAAACCGAGAAGGTAAAACTTTGTGTACATTCTGCATTTTTGATCATGTTATCCAGAACGGCGTTCCAAAATTCGACTTCATCATCATCATCATCATCATCATCATCATCATCATGAGCTCCAGCTTCAGCTTTAGAAGATTTTCGGCCCCATGCAGCTCATTACATGTATGTCAATGTTCCTCTGTATAAAAATAGAGTCAGGTTGGCACAGTGGTTACTGTCCTCGCCTTCCACCGCTGTGACCCGGGTTCGATTCCTGCCCAGACCACCACATGTGGATTGGGTGTTTAGTCCCTGCCTGATTCCATGGGTTTTCCCCAGAATATTCTTCTCGGCTTTTCCTCCCACCTCTAACACTGTAATTCCTTCTCATTGTCTCCTCTCGATAGGTTTCTTCGGGCTTTCAAGCTGAGGAATCCTTGGTTTCATTACCAGAAAGAAATAAAAAAATTAATATAATTTAGCCTGAAGCTTACGGTTGAGAGGAAAAATCCAGCCTGTGCAGATTTGCAGTTAGTAGTGATGCAATAACGTGAAGTCTTTAATTACAGAGGACAGACAAGCAAATTGTTCCCCAAATTGTTTTTGTTTTGTTTTTTCATTTGAATTTCTGTTTCTTGTTTCTGTAGATTTTGAGCTTTCATCCGTGGACCTGATTTCCAACACGTCCGCTGTGAACAGTACCGTCATTGAGTGGGGCTACATCGAGGTGGGCGTTAACGAGACCATTGTGACGGCCAGCACCGACGAAGGCTTGCAGGTCTTCCAGCTTGATCTACAGGAACCCAATCAGAAGCTGTCCAGGATCAAAACCTTCCCAAGTAAAGTATTATCCCTAATATTAAAAAGTTTTTTTTTTGGGGGGGGGGAGTTGGCGGGAAGGATTGTCTTGGTTTACCCTCTTTCTTACTCCAAGATTTTGTTCCAATGAAATGGTTTTCCTTGATCACATATTAGTAATTTTTGGGGTCATCTTTGATATTGCGCTCCCTTTTACTCCGGTAAATGCAATATTGTAAAGTTTAGTATGCAAATAATAGACATAAATGTGACCGGCTCCACAAAAAAGGGTATTAAGTCGCGCTGTGCATTATCGTGTAATGGCCCGCTCAGCTTGAGACGGTAATAATTTCATCAAAGTGTGATTTTAAGTTTTTATCGTGAATGACATCTTTAACACCTACAGTTTCAGGTTTCATTCACGGAAATGTTGATTTTGATGAATAAAGTGAAAAAATTACCATTTTGTGTGCATCGTTCTGTTGTTCTACAACAAAGCCAGCTATTTCAAAGCCTGTTTTCTCAGTTGTGTAACTCCAAGGAAGTAATGAATATGTAAACATGTCATATCTCCGGAATGGGAGTGGTTTGGAGCTCTCTTATACCAAATAACAGCTTACGTTGTAGGCTTTCCAACCATGTAACTGAATTTCACTTGTTTGCGACATAATACCCTTTTTTTGTGGAGCCGGTCACAGATATAGTGCATGTACAATTATTCAACTCAGTTGGGCGAAGTAATTATGATGGTCAATATTCCACACGTCCATCATATTTTTTTTTAAATATATATTCTGTGTCAAAAATTTTGACAATTTGTGTGAAAGCTGTGCCTTATACTTGAAGGGGTCAAGTGCAAAAAATGTGCCATTAGTTTCCTGCTCGATGAAGAATTCTGCAGGAATCACTAAGCCTCCTTCTAAAAAAAACGCTTTGGGTGTTACGTTAACTTGACATGCTGTCTTTTTTTCCCCCGTCATCTTCAAGATGTGTTATCATCCGTACTCTTCTCTCGGCACAGCTGGCAGGCAGGACACATCGTCAGGACTAAACAGTATCTAACGGTTTACGATTCCCGCCACTTCCTGAGTCACTACTCACTGGAGAAAGGCAACAACATTACGGTATAGATCTTTCCTTGTTACAAAAAAAGTGGCTAAGAGTTTAGGGTCTACCGTCCTCCTAAAAGTTGTCCATTACAGGCTGAGTCAAAAATGCGGAACCCAAACTCACAGAAATTTATTCATGTTTTAAAAATGTAGCACCAAAAATAACTATGACTGGTAAGCCAATTTAAAAAACAACTTTAAGATGAAAACATTACTTCAATTGCTCAATCCGTTCAAATTATATCACCGTTTAGAAGAAATGACCCAAAAATCTGTTTCGTCCAAAAAAGTCATTTTTTGTGTGTTCTGACTGTTTGGAACAACTTAGAAAACGACACAAAATACTTGTTTCAAGAACTGTAGTACACAGTATGTTTATTAACACCCCTGCTTTGGCAAACAATAGGATTTATAAAATCCAAATTTTTTTTTTAAGACGAGCCTTCAAAAGGACTTTGTTGAAAATTTTCAACTGTTTATTGCTAGTGATATTTGAAGACAATTGTAACGACAGTTCTTAATATCGCATTTTTGGATGAAACAGATTTTAGGGTCACTTTGTTTAAATGGTGATATATTTTCAATGGATTGAGCAATTGAAGTAATATTTTTCTTCTGAAAGAAGTTTATTAAATTGGCTTTAATACCAGTCATAAATATTTGAAGTGCTACATATATTTTTCAATATGAAATATATTTCTTTGAGTTTGGGTTCCGTATTTTTTTACTCACCCTGTATTTCTACTGGGATATTTCTTTTATATTGTGAAAAAAATATCAGAATTTACCCCCAAATGCCAAATTTTATATCAGTTAAATTTACACCATCTAATACATTCAAACCAACAGCCAAGCTTAATGTGCCACAAATGTCAGTTACTTTTGAATGTAAAATGTGGTATTTTATAATTTTTCAGGAGAGTTTAGCTACCTTTGCACTTAATTACAGGCATGCAAGTTTTCCCCGGATCCGCTGATTTCCTCGTTTTTTTACTTCTCATGAATGCCATTACAAATTGAAAAATACTGTACAAAGTCTTGTGCGATTTGGAGTTTCCTCAAGCGTGGTTCCAGAGTATGGTTTTTAAACAATTGAATTCTTTATTTAAACAATTGAATCATTTTATTTCAAACAATCATTCAGTATGATTATGATATGCAGTATATAATGCATGGTAGTCATTCACTTTACTGATAGTTATCACCTGCTGAAAATTTATTTCACAAGATAACTGATCACTTCACAATTTGTTTTGTATTGAACAGCTCCAGGACTCCGTTGATTTGGGCCCCGTATCCGTAATCGACCTTCACCATTTTGACTTTGGCATGGTCACCTATGTAGCAGCACTGACATCAAATGGATTTGTAAGGCTGTATAGATGGAGCAGCAGATGTGAGTATCCTTCCCACATAGGGGGCGGTGTCAAGCTGGTAGAAAGTGGGAGGGAGCAAGTAAAAAATAAGAGTAAAGTCTGTCACGAGCCAATGTGTTCCTCATGCCGGCGTTTATCTCTAGTTTCAGTAGCATGAAACGACTGAGAATATGTCTACTCCCCCTGGATGGGATGCTAGTCCATCGCAGGTTGCTCCCCGGCTCATGCCGGTACCCATTTATACTCCTGGGTGGAGAGAGGCAAGTGGGGGTGGCGTGGCTTGCCCAAGGACCCAACATATGGCCAAGCAGCTGGATTTGAACCCCTGACCCTCTGATCATGAGTCACGAAACCTAACCACTAGGCCACACTCCCAGTGGGAGCAAACAGTCACGCAATTTTTAATTTGTACATTCACATTGCCTTCCAAGTGCAAGCAAAAAAATGTTAACTTGGAGTTTTGCCCTTCACCAACCTATATTCACAACAACTGTATTGGCTCCGTGCACGAACAAGCGAGGGCGCTAAGAGCCCCGTAGAGGGGACACACCATGTCCGTGTACTGGTTCGCGCATGTATAGTGCGAATTACGCACAACTGTTTATATTTTAAATCTGCACAAAGCCATAGTGTCTGCTCGTGAACGTCAGGCGTTGTCAGCAATATGTTGAGGGAGTACTTATACACAGAGCCCACACTCATTGTTTTCCAAGCACTTGCTAGAAAAAAAATTCACAACTTGCCCGGATGGGACTCGAACCACGACCTCCTGCTTACTAGTTGCAGACGTCTTACCACTCAACCACCGAGCTTGCCGGGGTCGGCTGGCTGGTTCAAATCTGTGAAGGGCAGAACTGAACTTCAGAATAACGTTCATGATTTCTTTCCCTTTTTCAAATCAGATTGCAAGTTCTCGGTGGCAGAGGATTTGACAGTTCCACTGGGAGTGTCCAACCTGCAAGCATTCCATATATCGGGCAGACACTACCTTCTGGTCTCAATCTATAATTACTACTCAACAATCTTCAAGTATCACAGCCGGCAGAGTTCCTTCAGGTCTTATCAACGGTAAGTGGCTCTGGACTGTCCGTGGATTTGGCCTGATTGGATTAATTTCTTGGCTTTACTTGCAAGACATGTACCCTAATCCCCTAGTAGTTCAACACACAATATTGATACAAAGAAAAGAAAAGGGCAAACAAGAAACTCGAATCATACGCTTACGAAACTAATGACTGGAAAAAACTAACAATTTCAAATGTCCCGCGCTGCGAATTTGTCAATGCACTGGGGAAAATGAACTCTCTGTGGCAAACTCTTGGTGGCGCACTGCATTGTGAATCGCCCCCGAATTGGAGGAGGCACAAATCTGTCAACAGTATGAAATTTCTTTCACTTTTCTTTAGATTATACCCCGATGGGGCAAAGCATGCCACCCACTTCACGGATGCCTACAACCACTATCTTGTGTTTATTGATGCCTTGGGTCTGTCCTCCACCTTCTTCAAGTGGAATGGTATGCATGCAATGGAGGGTTACCTGTCTATGGTCTGGACCTTTTTATTGATTCATGATATGAGGTTGTATTAACTGAAATTGTTCATCTTGTACACCAGAGTTTTTTTTTAGTTTGGAAGACTTTTTGTTGCGCCCCACAAATGATTTGGGTGAAAGTATTTGAGCAAGTATCCTTGACAAATAATTGTAATGTGGTGCTTATACAGGGTGGATCAAAAAACCCGAAACTGAGATATTATTGCTAATTATTGCTAACATGTGAATCAAAGGGAGATATCCTCTGTTAGGGTTGAATCTCCTCTTTAAAATGACACCCTGATCATGTCATTACATTCACGGTTGACTGAGCAGTGACCAATTTTATGAAAGGGTCTATTTAGAGACTTGCACCACTTTTCATGGTGAAATCTCTTTTTTTCCCACCTGGCTTGAGTTGGCAACCATAGCCTTTCACTCTGTGACAATTGACACAACTAAAACCACAATTGAAAAGTGGCGCAAATCTCTAAATACACCCTTTCATAAATTTGGCCACTGCGCAGTCAACCGAACCGTGAATGTAATGACTTGATCAGGGTGTCATTTTAAAGAGGAGATTCAACCCTAACAGAGGATATCTCCCTTTGATTCACATGTGCCCTACTTCTGTTCCAATTTGCAATAATATTTCGGTTTCGGTTTTTTTTATCCACCCTGTATAGTGCTTTATACCAAAGGTCTCAAAGCGCTTCACAATTATTACCCCTGTTCATCAGGCCATGAGACCAGTATTTGTAGATCAAGATCAGCGTATTCTGGTCTCTGGGTTGAGAGAGGCAATTGTAGTAAAGTGTCTTGCCCAAGAACACAAGCACCGTGTTTCCCGTCAGGGTTCAAACTCACATTCCACCGTAACCATTGGACCATGGCACTCCAGAAGATGTTGCTTTTAATTCAAAATTTAGGCTTATGAGGTACCAATACTTTCCAAATTGTCCCCTTAGTGGGCGGTGTAAAATCGCTTAAAATCTGTTTTCATTATTCAAGTCGGGGAAAACTCGATTTGCATAATGTGTGTCGTGTGCCTTGTGTCCAAGTCGTGTCCATTGGCTTTTTAGTGTTTAATAATAAACGCAGTGTGAATATTACACGCCTCACAATCACAATAGGCTGTACTACACCATCTCTTGACTTCCCAGCAAACTTGTCAAAAGTAAAAAATATTTCTCATGGAATTTTGGAAATATCTCGGGGAAATATAAGGGAAAACTCAGGGAATCGTAAAGTGCGAGGAACCGTGATGTCATATCCCAGATTCTGCCCAGCAATGCAAAACGCATCAGTTCTTTTAGTTGGACGCTCTTCCTCACATTTCTCTCCCATCTACAGGATGAGTAAAAAAAACGAAACCCAAATGTCGGGACTATTGTTTTATTGAAGTTCTGCATGTAGCACTTTCAAAATCTATGATATGAAAGCCCAATTCATAAGCTTTCTTTTAGTACAAGAATCATTCAAATCACTCATGTACTTTACAATTAACTGAATTTTAAACACAACCACTGTTTTAAAGTTCTGTCCACGGATCACAAAAAAGGTGTGCGTTCTTTCAGCAAAACGAAAACAATTCGCACACATTCCTATGTGATTTGTTTGCGTTTTGCTGTAAGAACACCAAACATTCTGTGACCCGTGGACAGAACCTTAAAACGGTGGTTGTGTTTAAAATTCTGTAACTTAAAAAGTGCTTGAGTGATTTGAATGATTTTTCAACTAAAAGAAAGCCTATGAATTGGGCTTTCATATCCTAGATTTTGAAAGTGCAACATGCAGAACTTCACTAAAACAATGGTGCCAACATTTAAGGTTTTTTTTTGACTCACGGTCTATTTTCAGGGGTTGAGTTTGAAGAAATGCAAGTCATCAGCACGGTCGGAGCCAATCACTGGCATGCCGTACCCATCCCCGGGACGCAAGATGGCGCCCTACTCATTCTCTCGTCGGACGGCAAGACTCCCGGGGCGTTACCTCTCACGGCATACAAGCACGACCCGGTAACGGACACCTTCCTGAGCCATATGTCCGTCAATGAGCTGCTGAACCCTCCAGGTAAGTCTGGATTTCACTAGCTTCCACGTTGCTGATGTTGCTAGCATTCGTGACTGTTGGTGTGATGCCTGGCTACGTGGCATATGTACGTGTTTTTCGCTCCTGCTTAGTGCAGAGATGCCACTTTTCCGGTTTTAACCGGAATTCCGGTTTTTAAAAAAAATCTCACAAAATTCCAGTTTTTCCGGCCGTCAAATTAACCAGAAAAAGAGAAGAAAAACTGTGGAAATGCGTTGATTTTTACCTCGATTTAGTACATTTAGGCGCACGCATGGCACAACGTTGTTCGTTGAAGTAGTCTTAAAAACAGTCTTTGTGTATGTTGTTGCCGAGCCTGCATGCGATACAAGCGGCCAACGTACTTGTACGCAGTATACAATGGCGCCTCGCGCGTGCTTCACCGCGTGCAGGCGTGTTGTGTGCTAAGCATACGTAGCATTCAGCCTGGAAATCAAGTCTATCATTTTGGCTATCGGTGGTTTCCGATCGCAGTGATTTATGTGAATACAAAAAATGCGGGTACCAACCATGTTTTCGTTGAGCGCATCGCGTAGTGCAAGGATCATGTACACCGACAGCAGTGTTGTGGAATCGTGCGTGTTTCATGTCGAATATTACGTTGGAAATTCGGGTAGGCAGAATAAACATTAGGAATATGGAAAAAGTAAAAGTGATTGAATGAACCGACAGCTTTAAAGGCCATAGAAGCAAAATTAAATAATAAACAGAACTTGGATTGGCTACAAGATAAAGATGACAACGGGGACTTTGTGTCGGACACGGAGTGGCTTTTTCACACACAAAAAAAGTTCCGTTTTTTCAAGCAGCCGTTCCGTTTTTTTTTTCAAGCAGACCCAGTTCCGTTTTTTTCAAGCAGACCCTGTGGCATCTCTGTTAGTGTCCCTTGAATAAAAGCATTGACAAAATGGGGAACCGCCAACATAGGGCTGGATAGCTCAGTTGGTTGAGCACTTGTACGGTAATCTTAAGGTCGCAGGTCCAAACTCCGCTCAAGTCAATTTCTTTATTCAACTTTTAAAAATTTGTGTAACCTAGCTTTTTAAATAACACATAGTCTGATTGCCGGAATTTTACATTCACTGTTTTTTGTTTAATTGGCTATTGTTTTTTTTGTTAATAGGGGTCCAGACTGGGACGGTGGTAATACAAAATGAGTGATTTTTCTTGGGTCGGGAGCCCAAAATAGGGTCGGTCGGAAATGAGAACCAAAGAAATAAAACAAGGGACGCCCGTAATAGTTTCAATAAACAAAATTGATATTGCTGCAGTTCTCTCACTCACAAAAAAATATGGCCCGTTTTCTTATAGATTTTTGTGTTACAAGGTCGTCAAATAAGCTTCATCTTAATAAAGTTAGAACATCCCTACACCTCTCAACGGTATGACACCAGGGACCCCTCCTTTGGAATAAAATTCAATCTTCCTGCCCAATGACCTCAATTAGTAGTATTATTGCATGGACCATTTCGGCCGTCTGAACAGAAACTTCCGAGATTTGAAGTTTGGGATTGGGATCTTAATAATGGGTATCGGGGTACTGTTGTTTCTTTCAGTCGGGTACCCTTCATGTACTTACCGTATATGCATGTTCTAATCATCCTGCTGAACGATCTTGAACCACCTCTGTACCTGACAGGTACCCATTTTTTTCCTTGGTGGGGAAAAGAAGCACTCTTTGACAAAGTGCCCAAGGGAACACCCACCGTGATCCCACGTACTAGTCTCAAACCAACAATCCACAGTCATAAATTTAAGTGTGGAGTGCTGTGGCCTCGTGGTTAAGGGCACTGGATTTGTGGTCTGTGGGTAAAGCTGCAGGTTGTGGGTTCGAGTCCAGCCCGGGGTCATGGTGCATGTGCCCTTGGGCAAGGCACTTTGTCACTCATTGCTTCGTTCCACCCAGGAGTAAATGTGAGGGCAGAGATGGCTATTGTGATTGAATTAGCTTCCTTGCGCCTAACAGGCTGCATCGAGCTGTATACTCCCCAGGGAGCTGAGATTTTGGAATGTTTAATTGGCCCAATGATCAGGGGTAATAAAAATGTAAAGTGCTTTGATCTTTGTTAAAAGCGCTATATAAGAATCTGCTGTTATTTAAGCATAGGTCAAATCATCCTTTAGGCCCTACCAGATTATTTTTAATAATTTTTTTGTACTCCATATAGAACTTCACAATGCCACGAGTACACTCTCCTTTGACGTTGGCTCAGATATCTACCTCCTTGTCGGCTTCTCCAAGTCTCTCGCCTCCAAGGACCCTGGTGATCTCTTCAAGATGAACTTCTTATATACAGAAACGGATGACCCCATCGTTGCGGAGAATCAACAACTGGAGGACATGATAGAGGCACTAAAGGTGAAGAAGAAAAAAGGGCCAAAAAAACCCCAAAAAATACATTTTTAGCAGTTGGGAAGATGTAATTTTTTTGATTTCTTAAATACTTGTAACTACAACATCCTGCAAAAAGGTGGGAAAAAATGTTATGAAAGAAACGAAAGATAAACTAAGATAAATTGCACATAGTTAATCAACATCAAAAGAACAACACGTTGCAAAGTAACAGGAATACATGAAAACGGCGATAATTGTAGCTGTTGTAGTGAATACTAACGGAAACCCTATCGAACAGAAATATTTTTCAGATAAGAGTTTTCCCAACAACAGGAAAATTAATGCAGCCTTCCACAGAAAATTTACCCATCGGAGGCTGACATATAAATTAAATAATACGCTTAGTTTTTGATCTGGTATAGCACAGTTTCAAATTATTTTATAAACTTAGAATGCATGTACGGCACAAAATTTAAGTTGTCACATCTTTTTTTTAGGGGGGAGGGGGACGTTTAAATCCAGTGAACAGTTTAAGATGTTCAAAGTCTGACCGTAAATACACCCTTTGACGCATCATTATGATATATTTGGGTTTCATGAGATTCCAACATTGATAAATTGTTACAGATTATAAATGTTTTTTTGGGGGGGTCACTTTAGAACAAGACTAGCTATCTGAACGAGTCGCTGTCAAAAGCTGAAGAAGCGATTGCTGGCAGCGTAACAAAGGACGGCAACCAACGCATCAACGGCACCAAGACGTTTACAGAAGTTGACCTCCGAAAGGCTCTGGTTGAACGGATTGACGTGGAGGGTGAGACATTTGTTTGGTTTTCCTAGATTAGTGTCATTTTGTAGTTTCCAACAATGCAGTGGAAATTTGCATTAATATGCTCCCAAATGTGAACGGCTTCACACAAAAGGGTATTAAGTCGCGCTGAGCATTATTGTGTAATGGCCCGCTCAACACTGAGAGGGTGAAAATTGCGTCAAAATGTGATTTTCATTTTTTGTCGTGAACGACATCTTTAATACCTACATTTTCAGGTTTTATTCACAGAAATGTTGATTTTGATTAACAAAGTGGAAAAAAGAACAATTTTGTGTATATTGTTCTGATTTTCTACAACAAAGCCAGCTATTCCAAAGCCTGTTTTCTCAGTTGTGTAATTTGAACTCCAAGGAAGTATTTAATATGCAAATACGTCATATCTCCAGAACGAGAGGGGCTATAAGGCTCTTTTATATACCAAACAAAAGCTTACAATGTGGGCTTTCCAAAAATGTTCTTTTTCAGATGCTTTTATCTTTGCTCCGAGACCAACGGGTAATGAAAGCCTGGGACATCTCGTGAACCAGTCATATGCTCAGCGGGAACAGATCGAAGAGTTTCTCGACTTCCTCACTGGTGAGTTTCTACCAAAGATGATTGTTCTTTGTCCTGCATTGATGAACGAAACTGGCTTGAATATGGGTTTTACCTCTTGTAAGACGGTCTCTGGACTATAAACAGTATCCCCAAAGTTTCAGAAACTCTCAAAGTAATCACCATGGATTGCATGTCCAACTGGTCTTCAATTCATTATTTTGTTTCTGTTCCATCTTGTGTGGCCCAGTCCTGAAAAAAAAAACCTTGCATATGACCTAGTTTTTAGCACACTGGTCTTAGGATGTATTTTCCGCCCTCTGTCAACAGGTACGTCAATGGTCATTATGCCTTTATGTGCAATGGCTTTTTGAGAGCCTGAAAACTCACAGCAAGGATAGTAATCAAGTTTAGTAATCACAGATTAACTACAAGGCAAAACAAAAGTCAGGGTCACAACTTCAAGTATTAGGGGATAAACAGTAAGAACGGAATGCCTTTGTCAGAATTTAGTTCCATAGCCTGTCACTTAACTTGAGACTGGATGACCTGTGATTGACTGATGATGACTTGTCGTGACTTTTGATGACTCGTCGTGACTTTTGATGACTTGTCGTGACTTTTGATGACTTGTCGTGACTTTTGATGACTCGTCGTGACTTTTGATGACTTGTCGTGACTTTTGATGACTTGTCGTGACTTTTGATGACTTGTGACTTTTGATGACTTGTGACTTTTGATGTTACATGTATGTCGTGACTTGAGATAACTTGTCCGGATTTATTATGATGACTTGTCGTGACTTGTGATGACTTGCCATGAGTTGTGATGACTTGTCGTGACTTTTGACGACTTGTGAATCCTGATGACTTTTTGTGACTTGTGATGACTTGTCGTGACTTGTCGTGACTTTTGATGACTTGTCGTAACTTTTGATGACTTATCATGACTTTTGATGACTTATCGTGACTTTTGATGACTTTTCGTGACTTGAGATGATTTGTTGTGACTGTGATTTGAGATGATTTGTTGTGACTGTGATGACTTGTCATGCTTTTTGATGACTTAAGAGTTGTGACTTTTGATGACTTGTGACTTTTGATGACTTGGGGTTAAGTTTGATGACTAGTTAGACTTTCGTTAACTTGTCATTAATTTTTATGACTCATCGGGACTTTTGATGACTTGTTGTGACTTAAGATGACTTGTCGTGACTTTTGTGATATCTTGTCGTGACTTTTGATGACTTGTGACTTTTGATGACATGTGATTGACTTGTGATGACTTGTCATTGATTTGTATGACTTGTGACCTTTGATGACTTGTGACTGGAGACGACTTATTGTGACTTGAGACGACTTATTGTGACTTGTGATGACTTTTCATGACTTTTGAAGACTTGATGTGATGTGGTGACTGGGTTATATTGCATGCAGCATCCAAAAGCATACATGTATCTTCATCTCACAAATCCTAATGTCATCGAATGAGTAATTTTCATCTTTGAACTTGGCTATATCCTCTCTTCCAGATGTGGTGACATTGGGCACCGACCAGAACATCACTGGAGCTAAGAATATTACCAGTGTGACCGTACAAGGTGCTCTTAACTCCACGGTGTTCAGTACAGAACTCTTTGATGACGTGGACATTGATAAGCTGAACAGAGAAGCTTTCAGGTAGCACTTAGTACTTCAAAACTTCATTTTTTTGTTTATTAGGTGGGGTTATTTTTCCGTACTCTGGAAATCAGAAAGTCAAAAGTATATTGACAAATTCCTTTAAGTGAACATTTCGGAAATGGTGTAAAGGCCGGTTCATACTCAGCTCGAAGTTTTTTGCAAAAGTTGAACACATTTCAACTCTGGCAAATTTTGCTTTTGTGTGAACTATGAAGCGGCCTAAGTGAAGTGGGGTGAAGTGGCTTGCCCATGGACACAACATATGACCAGCAGCTGGATTCGAACCCCTGACCCTCTGATCATGAGTCGCAAACCCTAACCACTGGGCCACACTCCCCACCAAAGTTTTCTGTGATTGATTTCACATTCTGCAGGTTGGACATGCCAAACCAAGTCATCAACGGAGAGCTCACCTTCAGTGGCAACTTGTCGTCAACAAAGAGCATTGATCTGGATGACAGCTATCTGGTTAATGGCTTGGATCTGTCGGAGGACGTCGTTGTGACAGTTGGTTCTCAAACAATCACAGGTTACAAATCTTCTGGGTTTTTTTCTTACAGACAGAATGGATTCTTTAAATGCACTAAAAATATCTGAATTGAACTAGTTCTAAAGACTTGTGAGGTCGTGGAAAGTGTGTCGCTTGTGTCTTTCTGCCACAAAATGTGTCGCTTCGCAGTGTAAAAAATAATCTTGTTGTATTAAGCGGAATTTGAATTCTTTTCCTTGGAATGTAATTATACAGTGTTGATTGTAATTTATTGTGATACGATCAAGCTAAATGAGTCATTTGTCGGGAATTATCATTTTTAAGATACAGCCAAAAATAGGTCAGTAGGGGTGGAATTTAAATTTCAAAATTGACTTTTTTTGTAAAGTCTGAAGGCTATGTATGTCCTCCTTCATGTCAACTATTTTTTTTTTCCGAGAAAAACTTGCGCTAAAGTAATTAAAATGTGACATTTTTGCTAAGGAGTTAATATTCAATAACCTGAAATAAAGCATGTTTATTGTTGCTTACTAAACACTTCAAATTTGAATCGTTGATTTCTCTGTTTTCTTCTTTCTGATCTGCCTGTGTTTTAAGTCCCATCACTTCTGAACGGAAGGTCGTATTCACATCAGGTTTTCACTAAATATAAACTGAAAGATAGCGCTATTCAAAAATGTAAAAAATCCACTAAAATTCGATAAGAGCTGACAAATGACTCATTTAGCTTGATCGCATCACAGTTGGCATGAGAGATCTGCCAAGTTAATAAAATATTTACTGCGAACAGAAATAAAAACAAAGTTTGACAAACTGTCTGATCATGTTGGAAAAAAAGTTGCAAGTTCAGCAAGATAGTAAAAAAAAATTTGAGGCTATTTTTGGACTCCCTATAATTTGACAGTTTGAATTGTATCATTAAGTTTTAATAAAATGTGGTAACACAAGGTTGTAATTGCATAAGTATCAATCATGATCTTATGAATGTCAAGAATATTACCCCGAAAATTGTATCCAAAATTCAAAACTTGATAATTTATTTCTATTTCTAAATCTGTCAGTGTGAAGTTAATTGCCTTAATTGGATAGTGCACTATGACATTCAATTTGATATATGGCTAACTGACGCCAGAGTAAAAATGTGTTCTTTTGTTTGAAATGACCGTTTTCGATCAATTATAACTAATCCTTTCTGTAGGAACGAAGACTTTTCAACAGGACACGAGTATACAGAATGACATGGTCCTAAACCCGGGGGTCCTTCTCAATAACATCGACCCATCTGATCAACTCGTTACTTTGACTGGACCTCATATCATAGCAGGTAAACAATTAAAAAGATATTGAATAAACCACAATGTGCTTCCAAACCCAATTTCTTTGTATCTTGTTATTTTGAAATTTTGTTTGAATCATGCATTTTTTGTCCTGATTTGGCAGGTGAGCTGAATTTCACGGATGTCATTCATATTGACGGCGACATCATCACTAGTGGGACCATAGACGGCGTGGATGTCAGCAGCCTGTGCGACGACGTCCTGACCATATCAACCGACCAAACCGTCCCAGGTCAGATATAGCAATGCACAAGCATTACATGCACTGTGTATAGACTTCCGAACAAAAGATGTCCACATAAACCAGGTAGCAGCAACATTGTGTGGACTTGCCCACGTCCACACAATGTTTCCCCCTCTCTGGAAAACAGGTTTAGAGGCATTTTTGGGTTAGGTTTATCCATGGCAAAATGAAGAGAAACACTAAAGGGAATCATAGAAAACAATTTGGTTTGAAAGAGTTTTCACAGTGTGAGTAAAATTATTTTTTTCACAGGTTTTTCTTAACTACATGAAAATGTCCACACAAGGTACTTAAAGTAAACATGTCTGCGTGTGCAATAGAGGGGGCTATCTGATTTAAGGTTCTTGAGCTGAGATTGTCTGGCTTATGGCTTGAGTATATGCCTTCATGGTAGCCCATACAAAATGGCACTTAATGTTTACAAACGAAAGAAGGTTCTATTTTTACAGCTTCATCTTGTGTACTGGGGAAGTGCCTTGTATTGACAATACATGTATATAGATTGACCACGCTATCAATTCAGAGGTGGGGTTAATATTGTATGACTGATAATTTTAATTATGTTAAAACATCTTGATTGGAGATTGGTCCCAGTCTTTGTATTTTTCCCTGACATTTGACCAAAATGACATCACAGTATTTATCAATTTGTAAGTTAAATTTGAATATTTCGGTTTTTAAATTTGATTCTCAGTATACAGACACTCGTCAAAATTTAATACGACTGGATTATTTTTTGGTGATATATTCCATTTTCTAAAGTCTTTACCTTAATCTAAAGATTTACGTCTCCCCGATGCAAATTCCATCTTAAGTTTGTTGTGGTACCCGCTGCTATATCAGACTTGGACCAGCCAGCCGACTCCGGCAAGCTCAGTGGTCGAGTGGTAAAACATCTGCACCAGTAAGCAAGAGGTCATGGGTTCGACTCCCACCAAAGTAATCTTGTTAAGTTTTCCTCGCAAGTCCTCGGTCAACACCAAGTCTCTTGGCGAAGGCAAAACCTGATATGAAATTTAATCCAAAGAGGTTCTATGATTTCTTTTAGGCAACATTTCATTCCAGCAAGCTCCAGTGTTTGACACAGATGTGGTGTACGGCGGTCTACTGAGGCAAGTCAACATAACACGCCTTGATGACGAGGCTGTGAAGATCAATGAAGACACCAATGTAAGTAGACTGACTTGTGGAGTTGATTTATTGAGTTGATCCTTTGTTGATGGGGAGTTGAATGCAAGATGATGGGGACTTGTTTGCAAGTTGATGGGGTTCATTGTTAGTTGAAAGGGAATTGATTCTTAGTTGATGGGGACTTGGTTGATAAATGATTAGTAGTTGAATGCAATTTGATAGTAAATTGATTGTAAATTGATAGGGAGTTGATTGTAACTTGAAAAGGAGATGATTGCAAGTTGGAAGGGAGTTCATTGTAATTTGTTGGGAAGTTGATATGGAGTTGATTGTAACTTACACGTTGACTTGTGGACCACCGTTCCTAAAGAGACAGGACCATACTAATTCATACTTCCTTCATTTTGTGGAACAATAGCATACGGACATACCGCAGTTAAAGTTTAGCACTGTCAACTGTTTCTGGTTGATTTTCATACTTGTCTGTAAAACTGAAAACAGACATTTTAAACCGTTTGTCATCAGATTACGGGAGCTAAGACCTTCATGGACGATATCTCAGTGACAGGAGATGTGATTGTAGATGGCCTGGTCAGTAACATAGATCTCAAGGAGGACGTGGTGCAGTTGGCAGGTAGGATAAATAAGGTCATGTTTCCCCCCAACCTATGATCTGTCCTGTTTCAAGAGGAATGTTAACGTCCTACCAATAGTTTTCCTGAGTATTTATCCCTCTGTTATTTGTCTTGTATCCCTGTACCTCGAGTGGCTTTTAGCCTTGTTCAGGGAAAATATGCATTGGAAAATGACAAGTTCTTCCAAAAGAACTGTATGACTCGAAACAATGAGATTTAAAAATGAGTGGTCATGTTACCGGATTCATAGTTTTCCCTTTGTCACAAAGTAAACCTGCTTTGAAATCCTACTTAAAGTTTGTTATTTACTATCTTGTTCTGATGGACTCGGCCACACAAGGCCCCCAAAACAGGCATCTACCAACACTAACCAGAGTTCTGAAGATAACAAAAGAACTGAACACAATTCAGCAGAATTAAAGTTCCAAAATTAAGATAAAAAAATAATGTGAGATTATGAATGAAGATTGTTTTTGATTACACCCTAAAAAGAGTCGGGCTGGCAAACATTTGGGATTGGCATTTAGTCCCACGAATTCCACAGGTTACCCTCAAATTTGTTTGTTTTTCCCCAACCTCTAAACCTGAATATTGCAGATCGTTCCAAAGTTTTTTCTGGCTTTTGCGCTGAAGTGCGACCAGCACCTACGAGGAATTCTTGGTTTGTTGCTGAAAAATTAATAACAAAATTAATATCAGTTTTACTGATTGCCTCTATGTCTTTTCTGTGTTTGTGTGTAAATAGTGGGCGGTAGGTTGTCCGGTTCGAGGGTGTTTAGTGGACTTGTCGAGATGGCCGGTGTAGTGACCGTCACCGGCACGGTGAATGGGTTAGACCTGTCTCAGGATGTAGTCACACTTTATGGTGAGTATCAAAATAATGTATTCACATTTGAATGGAACACATACTCCTGCTTCAGGAGTATGTGTTCCAGTTATCAAGATTGTTTCACATATTTGAGTTAAATACATGAAATGTTAGAAATATTAAGGAGTATTTGATAAGGTAAATGTTAAATGAAAGTTTATGCACCATTGGAGTGTATAAATACTTTGCACGCACATCATGGGGGTGTGGAGGGGTGCCAACGGGGTCCGCCAAAGGGGTCCAGGGCCCCCAAAACGAACCCAATTTTTTTTTTAAGTGCAACGCAAAAAAGGCAGCCACTGCGTACACCACCCACAAAATTCAACAGAAAATGAAATTCTCGGAGGGTAGCATTAAAATTGCGCCACAATGCACCAATGCCATGACGAGTCCTAGTTGGCCCCCCCTCTTGCTTTTCATATTAAATTTGGGACGGAAAATGTTTGGACCCACTTTTTTCAAGGAACAAAAACCTATTTTGGCCCCCCAAAAAATTGTGTTCTGGATCCGCCCTTGGCCATTCACTTTAAGAAGGCTTCTGCCTGCTCCAGTATGTGTATTTGGGCACTGAGCAGGCTACTGGTCTTGAAATGTCAAACAAAAAATTGTATACAGTGAATTTGGTTGACTTGAGAGATAGCTACTAGTCATTTAAAATTATAAATTCAACTTCATGCGATGTGATCAAGTATCTCATGCTTGATAAATTAAGTAGGTTTACAGACATTTTGGATCTTTTTAAAAAAATATATCTTGAAAGCAAATATAAAACATGTACATTGACAAGTCAATTTTCGTACTTAAGGATCATTTAAACATTTGGAAAAATTTGTACAGATTTTGAACATTTGGGAAAATTTGTAAAGATTTTGAATTGTACTGCACTTAGTTTCATCTAAGTTTTTTTTTACGTCAGGCTGGGTTTTCAGAGAAAATGTATTTTTCACTCACCTACATTCAATTTAATTTATTTATTTCCATTGTATCAATACATACAGCAGCACATATATAAATAATGGAGAGTACATCGGATACAAAATTTGAATAAATAAAGAATCTTTGCATAAAGTCGAGAAACTGTTCATAAGATGGAATTGGCATCGGGGTGATTTGAATTCAATATTAAGTTTTGCTCTTCACCCATAAATAAACACTGTGTACTCAGTGTGTATACAGTGTTTATGTCGGTGAAGGGCAAAACCTAACAAAGTTGAGAAGTGAAACAAAAGTAGTTTTCGGGCTGTTCAAATAAGGAAGGCTTGTTGAGAACAGCCTTAGCCCACTGACAATAAACAAAGACGACGACTTTAAAAACTGTGTGTGTTACTTTTATTGCAGGTGACCACACTATTCAGGGGAAGAAGACCTTTTCAGAAGGCATTACGGCAAATAAGAACATCAACGTAACGGGCACGGTAGACACGGTGGATTTATCGGAGTGGGCTGCTAATGTCATGACGTTGTCCACTGATCAGACTGTGCAGGGTAAGCAGAGAGTTCTACATAGGGATGTATGTGAATTGTTTTCGTCGTGCTGAAATAACACTTACCTTTTTTGTGATCCGTGGACAGAACTTTAAAACGGTGTGTGTGTGTGTTTAAAATTCTGTAACTTGAAAAGTACATGAGTGATGTGGATGATTCTTGTACTAAAAGAAAGCTTATTAAATGGGCTTTCATATCCTAGATTTTGAAAGTGCTACATGTACAACTTCATTAACTACATGGTCCTGCCATTTGGGTTTCCTTTTTGTGTGTGACTCACCCTGCATATTTAAAAAGAAAATGAAAGAAAATTAAAAGACAACATTTGACCCAGAGTTTAATTGTCATAATGCCAACATAACCGCCTTGTCAATATTACCTCTCTAAGATTTTTTAGCCAATGTTTCAGAATTGGGCAGTTTGCATGAAATTCATTTAAGGTACAAGTATTAGTGTGGAGATTTGAGGTTAGCAATTCGTTGTATTTCTGCTACCCCATGCTGAAAAATTGCAGTTTTGCACCCTAAAAACCTATAAATGGCTATATTTTGGCACTTAAATTTTTTTAAAAACCTAATATACTTTGATACTGTGAGGCCTGATATATAGCCCAATATAGGTTCATGGTCTTGCTTCTTGAACATCAAGCCAAAGACAATGTCCATATTTGGCTTGCACGTTGAAGTCTCTTAAATGTTCTCGAAGGCTGAGATGATGCCAAAAGCTGAAAACATTGCCAAGGTGAGAAAACTTATTAAATGATTTTACACTCAATTTTTTTGTAGGTCCGCTGGCTTTCACTGACGACACCAACATGGGAGGTAACCTAACCGTTGCCGGTCTCATCAACGGCATTGACTTGCTGGCCATGTACAAGGATACGTTCTTCAAAACGTCCGACAAAGGTAAGCCCAACCACTTTTTCATCATTATTTGATTGGTCTTCATTTCTACTTATTTTTTATTTTCTGAAAAATAAAAGCCATTGATTCTTAGAAATGCAGGGGTCTTGGAAATCTCAGACAAGCGGTCCCAAATTGAATATTGACATGCTTCTTAATACTCACAGGCCATCAAGCATGTTTTTTCCTCTGGACTATTCAGTCGCAGAGAAAACAGAATACGCCATCAAAGTCGTGAGGAACTGGTTACAAGTTCTCGCGTACTGCAGCAGCTCAAATGGTTGAGTGTTTTGCCACGGCAGTTGTAAACCCAAGCTTTATCGAGTACCGAAGTGTGACGCCATTTTGAACCGGGAAGCGTAGTGCAAATGAATGGAGAACGCGCTGTTGTTGGTTCATGGGCTGAATCACGCACTAATGTTATTTACACACATAATTGTGTGCGTGATGTCTTCACTTCGGTACTCTATAATTGGCTTGATTCTCCTTTTGGGAAGTGAAGTCATCTTGTAATTTGTGATTTATTTTACATGTGATTTCACTTGTGATGGACGTGACTGCAATTAACCTGCTTGTACTATATTGTGATCTGATACACGGTACCCTGTGGAGACATGTGCATAATAGGGAACAAAAGATTGTATACGTCTCCACAGAGCAATCTCTATAGGTGAATACGTCTCCACAAGGTTATCACGAAATAGATTTATGGATTTTACTCAAAACTGGGAATCTCCAAGGTGTGTTGATCTGTCGCAAATTAAGTATTTTATGTATGGGATATTTAGTCCGAATTTCGAACTCTATTTCAAACTCTAAAATTTTAGTACATGAGAACAAAGAAATGACTCCACAAGGATAAAAATTCCAATATGTGTGTTACAGCGTGTTTATTCACTGATGAATACATAAAAACATAGAGTGCTTGGGCAGGTTCGGGTGCTACAGTGAGTAATAGGCAGGGCGGTTTAGGGCAGTATATAGTGGCTTAAGGGTTTATCCCAGTTGCGTTTTGTTTCCTTTTTTTTTTGCAGTGCAAATTATCAGCGGCAACAAGACGTTCACAAAGCCTGTCAATGTCACAACGGGTCACATTGTCTTTGAGGGACTCATCAACGGACGAAACATGACCGAGGACTACCTCAACAAGTTCTCTGACCAGAATGTGACAGGTGAAATTTGTCAGAGGACCCATGATCCCATGGAGCCAGTCCATTATAATGACCCAATATCAAGTAAACAAACGAAAACTAACCTTCATCAAGGTGGCATGGGTGGCTTGTGCGTAAAGTGCTGGCAGTCTCACCACTGTGGCCCTGGTTCGAATCCTGTCCGCGCACCATACATGATGTGAGTGGAGTTGTGCGGTGGTTCTCTCCTGTGCCACAAGGGTTTTTCTCCAGTCCCTCTGGTTTTTCTCCCTACGGAAAAATCCAACACTTTCGATCTCTGGCTATGCTTCTTGGTAATGTGGCTGGCTGCCAAAGGCGTCTTTACATGCCAGCGGCTCGACCACGTTGTAGCCGCGTCCTTGGCAAAGCAGCTTCTCAGTTGCGAGTAAGGATGATTAGCCTTCCAAATTATTATTATTAATATTTGCATGCAGTTGAGGATGATTGGGCAAGTGTTATAATAGAAGTGGGGTAGCACGATGAATCTTTTTTGGTGGCTATGTGAGGTTCTGGAGCGAACTGGTTTGGTAACTCGAGGCTTCAGACTATGCTCTGTTCTAGGGAGTGCTCGATGTTGAGTTCCGCTCAGAAATTCAAATTCCACTTTTGATGACTCCAGTATGGTGTTACGTTCACAATGTTGCACTGATAAAGTTTTGCGAAATATTCCGGGGAAAGTGGCCAGGAAATGTCACAGATTGCACCACAGAGCATCTAGCATCCACAATTTTTCGGGGTCCTTAAGGGACCGTGACCATTCAGCCCTGGTATGAAAAGGGCCCCCCGGTACCTCGTCCGGTCCAAAGCTAGTCCGGTCTTCAGCCCAGTCTCGTCCGGTACATGGTCATGTCTGACCAGAAGTTTTGAAGTCAGTCAGGCGCATCAATTTATTGCCCTTCAGAGAACGTCCAGAGCAGAACAATAGCAGACTTACCGGATTAAAGATAAAATCCTTCCATAACGCCTTGGTAGTTTACGGTCCCATTGTGCGCGAAACCGCATGGCAGGGGTTTTGATCTGTGCCGACGAAAGTGTTCTATTGTTTCGCGCTGAGAGATGAAAACCACAAGCGGGTTTCTTCTGGGATATATTACATGTGTCAATACTTGCAAACAATAGACCCCAGGATAGAGGAGTTCCTGATTAGCAACTGGACCAGCTCCTGGGCCGGTAGCTGGGACGGTACGAGAGGACTTCTTGGGAGGGGACGAGCTTACTGGGGGGCCCTTTTCATACCGGGGCTGAATGGTCACGGGCCCTAAGCGGGCCCTGGACCCCACGCAGTAAGGGCTCTGCGCTTGCATAAAACATTTCCACTTTGAAGTTTTAGGACCCCCCCCCCCCAGTCTGGGATCAGGGAACGGGCCCGTCAGTCCGTCTTCAGGAGACAGACTAGTGTTGCTGGTTATTCAGGACCGGCCTATACTGTGATTGATCGATTTACTGCTTCACAGGTTAACAATATTTGACACAGTAGTAGACGAAGATGGATTTCTGTGTTATAGTAATGTAAACGAATGACATGAATTACCGCCGTTTTGAATGATGAAAATTTGCATTGAGGAGATATTGATTCAAAACCGATTTTTTTTTTGTTTTTTGTTTTTTTGTTTTTTTTGTTTTGGTTTCACATTTGCTGCCCACAGAGAATGGCCTGTTTTGGCATGAAGGATGGCAGGATTAGCTGTATGATGAAATATTGCATTAAGGAGATATGACCTCAATATTTTTTTTTTTTGGGGGGGGGTGGTGTTTCTCACAAGCCCCAGACAGCACTGAGTTTACAGTGCTTGTAAAATTACGCCAGTGAAGGACAAAACCAAGTACTGAAATTCCAATTGGAATGGAATGCTTTATTCGTACAGGGCATAAAACCTTTGTGGATGGTTTCTCGGCCGACGCTGACCTCAACGTGTCTGGGCTGATTGCCGGTATTGACCTGCTAGCGCTGTACGCCAACTCGCTCATCCGAGGCAGAGAGGCACATCTCAGAGGGGAAAGGGTGAGAGAAAGCTGTCAGAAATGAACCCAAAGCAACCGTGGGGACAACCTCATGTTTATCCCTCGCAAACTCTTGGGCTACACTCTGAAAATATCCCTGAAGCATATATGATTTGTCATCACAAAAATGAGCATAAACTGTTTCAACCAGTTCGTGCCAGAGGCCGTGTATACACGCAAATATTTTGCGGTATTCGGAACGCATGACAGATAACCATGCAAGAAGCGAGGCCGAAAATATCTGTCAGCGACCCACTCGCAGCGAGCGAGGCCGGAAATATGAGTGTGCTGCCCGAGGGTGATGGCTTCAACCCGCCTGGCTTGAGGTCGAGTGAAAAGTAATCCTGCACCTTGTTCCGTTCTTGTCAAAATAATCCTGGCGTGAACTGGTTAAACAATTTTGATTTTTTTTTATTTCTGGATTTTGTAGAACAAGAGCTTTCTAATGGTGTATGACACTCGGGGATACTGAATTCATTAACGGAAATATAGACTGCCAACTAATTTGAAGTTGTGAAAGTGATTTTTTGAGAAAATGCATTCAAAAATTCCACAGTCGTATTATAGTGAACGAACAGTCAACTAATAAAATGGGATGAAAATAGGTTTTAAAGATGTAGATAGGTTTTACATTTTTGTTGTATTCTCTTAATTTGTGTTTGTTAGACTTTTCTGGGAAACGTCAAAGTTGAAGGTGTAGTCAACGTCACTGGGACAGTCGACGGAATCAAAATGTCCACCAACGTTCTGACGATAAACGGAAATCAAATTGTCACAGGTATGTAAAGCCCACAATATTACTCTTCGTATATGATATGTAAAATTACTATTCAAGAAAATAAAGCATAAGACTGGGTCACCTTTTGTCTTTGTGATTAAAATGTTCTCGTCGGTTTAAACTTAGAAAAAAATAGCACTAAACATGTACTTTTGCATTTAACACTTCTCAGTGTATGTGCTTTTTATAAAAAATGAAAAACAATATCAAATACTTAAAGACAATTAACAGCTTATTTCTGCCAAAAAAAATGATATCAATTATCTGTTAATTTATCTTCTTCTAAAAACCCTGTGATTGAAGGTGTTACATGCAAAATATTTTATTTTCATCAATGTTTAAAAAGCATCAGATTGTTTGCATCTGTATTTCTGCAAAGTAAATGAAGTAAAAGCCTGGTAGAATTTCTCCTTTTTTTTTGTACTTCAAGCAGGGAAACATTTTAAACGTATTTTCACAAACACCACAAAGAAGCACTTGACCAAAAACTAAACTCCAATATTTGTTGTGTTGGCACTGGGGTGACTTTTAGGTTCAAAGACTTTTCAGCAACTGAAGGCTCACAACATGTCTAGTGTCAACATGATCGCTCAAGTCTCGGTTAACCAGAGGAACTGGACTGACTTTGTGCTGAGCAGGGTGGACCTTACATCCAATCAGGTGAGGGGGCAAAGGAATTCCAAAGCTCTAATTATTACCCCTGTTCATCAGGCCGTGAGACCATTTCTTCATATCCTGGTGTGATATTCATCCTCATTTATTAACTTTTTTTTGTAATCTGAGCAATCCATTTCTCCATGTTTGTTTTCCCAACTGTTTTCAATCAACTGTTTTTAGTCTTTTTTTTGTTTTGTTATTTCATTGTGTACCTCCATTCTTGTTGTTACATGCATTATTTTTTTAACTCTCATTATAATTTTTTACAGGTCTTGTAATTATTTATATTGTAATGCATACAGTTTTAATACCTCTGTCTATTTTTAAAAAATGTTTTCAATGTAAACCCGCCCACAATTCAGCCTTCGGGCTGCAACGGGAGAGTGAAATAAACCATTTAATAATAATAATAATAAATTCTCTGCAGCAGTTCGATGTCAGCGCAAAGTTCACAGGTTCCAATTTGTACCCCTTGGTAGAGATAGGTAATTGTTGTAAAGTGACTTGCCCAAGAACACAAAGCACCGTGTTCCCGTCGAGGTTCGAACCCATGCACCACAGCATATGGGTCGAAAACCATAACAATTTGATCACATTATTCCAAGTTAGCAAATTACACACCCAACTCCTTAAGCTGAAGAAGCACAAGCGCTTGCGTAAAAACTCTATGGAGAGTGGAGAAAATGTTCTAAGTATTTCCTAACAAAATTGCAAATGTTTCTCAGTTCCAGATTCATGTCTTTTCAACATTTTTGCAGTGACTGACCTTTATTGAGATGATGTATGAAGGAAAAAAGTGGTGTCAGGATGCAACATTCTTTCCAACTTGTGCAATCTACATGTTTACTGAGTAGGAAAATTGTGCATATCATAAAGCATATTTCAGGGCCGAGATATGCGAGAGAGTTTAATTTTAAGCAAAATCTGCCCACAAAGTAAAAATAAGCTCTACCGGTTATAGTCAATGAATGAAGACCATTCCAAACAACCTTTGAAAACAATTGTTTGTATATTTTCACCCGAAGGACATTTCTGCAAATCATAGTTTCACTGCGGACAACGTGACTGCCAACGATGTTGAGATCAAGTGGCATGTCAATGGTATCAACCTGACGGCGGTCCTGGAAGACATCATGAGAAAGAGTGTGGTACAGACAGTGACTGGAAGCAAGACTATACCTGGTGAGAACAACAAGAGGAAAGGACATATTATTCCACGTGAAATCAGTGTTGTAGTCTAGGTGCTTGTGATGGATAACAAGTTATCATAAGTCAGTAACAAGTCAATCATAAGTCGGTCACAAGTCAATTACAAGTTGGTCATGAGTCAATCACAAGTCATAACAAGTCAATCACAAGTCAATCGCAATTCAATCACAAGTCAATCACAAGTCGGTCACAAGTCAATCACAAGTCAGTCACAAGTCCATCACAAGTCCATCACAAGTCAGTCACAAGTCAGTCACAAGTCAGTCACAAGTCAATCACAAGTCAATCACAAGTCAGTCACAAGTCGGTCACAAGTCAGTCACAAGTCAGTCACAAGTCAGTCACAAGTCCATCACAAGTCAATCACAAGTCAATCACAAGTCAATCACAAGTCCATCAAAAGTCAATCACAAGTCAATCACAAGTCGGTCACAAGTCAATCACAAGTCGGTCACTTGTGAGGTTCTTAGATGCATCATTATATAACGGACATACAGATCCTTGTCAGTTGATTGGTGGAACTCACATCACGTGACATTCGTTATTGCTCCCATTCACGCCACGGCTCAATTCACGCCAGGGCTCATTCGTAGGAGAACCTTGGTCATTCGTTGCCCAATCGCAGACAACCGTGGCGTTAACGTCATTATTCTTAGTAATACCGTCAATATTCTTCAAAAATCCGTCCATATTCTTGACAAACTGTGGTGTATTCGTGGAGAAACCTTAGGACAGTTGTGGCTATCCGTCCTAAAACCGTAGTGCATTCTTGGACAGTCGATTTCTCCACGAATCTCGACGGTTCATCGTGATTGATTGATTCTTGGTAAACCGTGGATATTCGTAGCTCCAACTGTGAATGTGTAACTTGGGCTTTAGGATCATCCTTGTTGCATGATGCGGTATCTGTATGCAAATGCATGCTGATGTGCGCGTTGAGCGTTGCGCGTAGCGTGTATTGTTCCCAAGAGCCAGTAGCTACAGAGTTGGGTTCAAACATTTCATTAAGAGGTGGTTTTGTATTGAAATAGAAGTTCATTTTAACTGTAAATCAAATGTCTAGGATCTATATGTCAGTTATATAAAACGCTTATGAATAGCTTATGAATCAAATTGAAACTGGATAAATCGGGATTGACCTAAGATGATATAGCCAAAATTTCCACGCTTTTGAAAAATATCGCTTGACTATGATTGTATCATTGCATTTGTTATCTCTCATCAGGCACTGTTATAGTTCACGGCAACGTTTCCCTGAGTGATCACATTAATGGCATCCTACTCGGTGACTTTGCATCCAGGGCTTTTCTCCTCAGTGGACTTCCACAGACAGTAACAGGCAGGAAAGTAAGTTTTCTCACTAGTTGTAGGTATCAGTAGCTGTCTATCAATATCTCTTCTTTTTTATAGTTGTTATCGTTGTCATGTTGTCTTTCAATGTTGAAAATTGATATGGTATAAAAATGCATTAAATGATCGTTACATTTTAAATTATACAATGCCTGAATAAATCCCTGTCATCTGATTGGTGGGTTGTTGATCACATGTTATGGAATTATTCGTCCCAATCGATGGCCTGACTGTACCGCAAAAATAGAAGTTCTATTCCACGGTAAATAGTTGTTCCATTGCACGGTCACACTATTGGTGACTCTGACCAATCAGATGACGAGGATTCATTCAGGTGTTGTATAAATAAATAATGAATGTTTCACATTCTTGCAATGGAAAGAGTAATTTCATTCGTTGACTATGGAATGTTCCATTCCACGAGACTTCGCCTTGTGGAATGGAACATTCCATCTGCCACCTCATGAAATTATTCTTACCATTGCACTCATAAACATTCATTATTTATATACCATGAAATGAACAATCTTTGTTATCGGCAGTGTTGCTCCATCCTCCACAGAATGTAAACCTTTTTCTGGTTTTGAGTTTGTATCTTTCATGCCTAATGTAGCAATTTTTGTAAATGTTTTGTTAATCTCTGTCTCTGTTTATATCGTTATTGGGGGAAAAATCAACTATATCAACCCTTCCACAGCTCAAAAATTAAGTGCTCATTCAGTCAGACCTCTGAAAACACGAACCATGTATCCTGGTCCATCACAGGTCCAGTCTGAAGTAAAATTGCAAGGCAGTTCGTAGGTAACAGGGGAGGAACAATAATAAAGGAATGCTTTTGTCACAGTTGATTAACATAGCTGGAGACTTGACTCTGGACTTGATGACTTCTGATTAACTTGAGGACTTGCGAGGGACTTGACTTTTACACTGCACGTTTCCAATTGTTTTCATGTTTTGTTTTTTTTCTTTCCAACTCTTAATAGACGTTTGACAATGCGACAGCCTTTTCAAGCCACTTACTGGTGACGGGATTGGTGGATGGCATCGATCTGGATTTCTTCATGTCCGACATCCTACATCCAGACAACTTGCGGAAAATTCTGGGAACAAAGGTGAGTGCAATCAAGTTGATTGACCGAGCTTGTTTCATTCTAATATAATATGGCAGTTTGACCCAGGGTAGATCAAATTCAGTCAGTCGGTCAGTCAGTCATGTGGATCCGTAACAAAAGGGAAACACTAGGCTCAAGTACCAAAAAAAATCCCCACAATTCTACTTACTGTGCTTAATTCCATGGATTCCTACTGGTTTTGCTTTGTAGACCTTTCTGAATGGCTTCCGTGCCCAGACTGACGTCGCAGTGACCGGGAATGTTGATGGTGTGGATCTCAGTGAGGACGTCATGACGACCAATACCTCACAAAATGTATCAGGTATAACTGTCTTCTGGAGTTTATTTGCACGAAGTTGCGGGCATTTGATGTTACAGATAAACTGTGGTTCAACAACTCAAACTTTTTTTTTATCAATGTTCTATTTTAAGGTAAAGAACTGCCTTTTTAAAATGCTGGCGTCTGCATAAAGGCTTTTTATTTGGATTCATGGGCGTCGCAGGGGGGGGGGCAAGGGAAGGCGTTTGCCCCCCCCCCCCCTGGAAAATGGAGGGAAAAAAGGGAAAAAAAAAAAGGAAAAAGAGGTGTGAAGCCATATTGCTGTTAATTTGATGGGGAGATAGGGCAAATGCTCCCCTGCTCACGCTCGGAAAAATGATAAATTGAGAATATAATGAAAAAGTTAAGGAATTTTGGGGGAAAATTTGCTTTGCCCCCCGCCTGGAAAAAATTCTGGCGACGCCCATGTTTGGGTTGTTTTTCTGTACAAACAGACCAGCCCTGCAAGTGCATTGGTTCCCGTCCCCACATTTTCAATTTTGAAATGGGGCGGAGTCGACATTGAGTTGATATATTTGCCTTTGACTCCAGTGGGTTCCATTCCAAGCCTGTAGAGTCTTATGAATAACAGTAGAAGCTAATACGTTGGCGTTACCCAATTGACACACAGGTGGTACAGGGTACTCGGTGCTCCTTGGAATTCTACTTATGTGGATTTCAAATTGACTGTGTGCGACATACGTGAACATTCCATGGTCCAGTGGTTACGGTGTTTGATCCTTGTACGATGGTGCATGGGTTCGAACCCTGACAGGAATGTGGTGTTTGTACCCTTGGGCAGGACACTTAACAACATTTGCCTCTCTCCACCCAACAGTATAACTCGGTACCTGTGAGGGTAGAGGACCGAATGTGCGCTAATATTCGGCTGCCGCGTGGTCTCATGGCCTGATGAACAGGGATTGTTGATACGATGAAAAGCGCTACATAAGCACTACAATTATATTACTTATTTTATTTATTTATTTTATAGCACATCTCAGTAATGACCAGGGAAGTAATCCAGCCCATCACAAGTCCAGGCACAAAGGAATCACAAGTCCACTCACAAGTCCAGTTACAAGTAAACAGTGGATGAACAATAACAAAGGAATGCCTTTGTCAAAGCTCATTTGAATAGCTTGTGATTTGAGTTGGGACTGGAGTGGACATGTGATGAACTTGACTATATCCCCGCTAATGACAATAAGGTGTTTCACGGTAATATGCGCCATCTTGCGGACGGGCCAATTTTACACGCGTTGCTGTGTACGCATCGTCAATGGAAATCTTTGGCACTTCCAAGTCATTCCAAAATGCGCCCGCGTCTAGCAACGCGTGTTCTTTTTGCCCCGTGAACAAGATGGCGCATATTTACCACGAAACACCTTATTGCTATCTATTGCTTGCTACTTTGAAAGGGTTCAAAACATTCCACCATTCTGCACTGCAGGTACTTACACCATGACGTTCCTTGGTTCCACGGATCCAGACAGCCTGGTAACCGGACTCATCAATGGCATCGACCTGGTCTATCTCAATAACACCATCCTAAAGAGACAGGAGGACCAGACTGTCAACGCACCACTGGTGTTTACAGAAAGTATGTAAAAACTGAAAAATCCATTAAAACAATTTGTGTATAAAAGACAAAACATAAGTATTTTCTCAATTGAAACAAAATAAGTGTTTTAAGATGAGAAAGGGAATAATGCAATTGAAAGAAAATCTTCTTTTAATTTATTGTTAAAAGATACAAATCTTTGAATCCTCTGAAATTTTTTTATGGCAATGTTTACAGAGTTTCACTGTAAAAAACAAGCAATAAAAAAAATTTAAAAAACCCAGATATACTGCAACAGCTTTCTTCAGCGTTTAAAAAAATTCCGAAAATAATTCAAGCCAAAATATTTTTACCCTGTCTTCTGTATCAAACCTGCAACAAAAGGTCCCGCATCAAAGTCTCCAAAATTGAACAAAGAAAATGACTGGGGTTTGAACTTGCGACCTCAGGGTTGCCGTTCTGGTGCTCTTACCAACTGAGCAATCCAGCCCTATGATGGCGGTTCCCCAATTTGTCAATATCTTTGTTCAAGGGGCGCTAGTCAGAAAGTCATAAACTTTTTCCCATTATATTTCAAATTGTCATATTATGTTTGGAAAAATAAATTCCTCACAAAGTGATTTTTTTTTCTTTTCCAGATCTGACCTCTATGACCGACGTCACGGTCACCGGCCTCGTGGATGGCGAGGATCTGTCAGAGCTCCTCTTCAGGGCCATCATGCTGAACGATCCCTTCAACGTCACGGGCAATCTGACCTTTACCGAGGGCGTGACCTTTGAGGGCCCACTGAACACGACGGGGCTGATCTTTGGCAAGAACCTCTCGGCCTGGTACCAAGACGTGGTCTTGTTGAACACAGATGAGGTGAGGAAAAGTTTCAACCATGTGTCGATTTCTGCATTGATTTTTTTTAATCACGCGTTCGGAAATGGCTAAGTCAAATAATTATGTGAATTTTCATCTTCTGAATGCAAAATTGCTTTTCTCCCGGAGACGATCGGAGCATACTGATTGGAACGTCGAGTTTCACAACTAACCGGTTCTTTGCAGAAGCGCACATCTTCTCAAAAGAGATTCTTCCACATGGTGTTACCGCAAACACTCGCTACTTTACACTACCGCCATGCACAGTTTCAAATCTTATTCAGGACAAGTTACTGATTTACAGTTTTTCCGTTAATTTTTGGTTTTTCTTCAAAACAACTTTGTGTCATCATAGAGCTAGGACCCAAGGAGTCAGAACTCTTGGGCAATTTACATTTTGACCATTAACATTCCAATCCCTTGGGAATATCCATAGCTAAAGCACTGTATCGCAAGCCTTGCCATTTAAAGTGTGCATGCAAGTGGCCTTTGAACACGATGATCGTCGCCGCCTTTTTAGTTGGTAACCAACAGCCTCCCTGAATGCTGCATTAATAAGTCATGTCACTTCGCTGCTCTTTTTTGAAAAATATATTTTACGACAAGATAGATTTTTACAAGGGCGCAGTTGTTAGATGTGAGTTATGAAGTCAAATTATTGATGTGCAGTTATTGGTGCATGAAAGCGCTATCTGTCCCTGTAATTTGGAGATAAATTGGATTTCTTTTATCATTTTATCATGTCTTTTCGGACATTTGGCAATATATCATTTATGAAATGTGATTTTTTGGTAAATTTCACAAGTTTTCACACTAAAGGTATAGAGAATGTTGTTCGTCATGAAATGATTGTTCCAGTGATGTTGACCACATTGATATATAGTATCATCCAACTGCGAACAAACACGTATTTACCATGGTACTGTCTACAAAGCTAAAGCAATGCAAACTCTTTCCTCTAGCATTAGTGAGCGCAGATCTCTATGTGTAGAGATTAGCGTGGTGAGCAACTGAGCAAGCTGGGTCCAGGTGCCTTCTATTGTTGCTTCGAGCGCGGCGACCATCCTTTTATTTTTGAAGACAAGTCTTGGCTATGGTGTCATTAAAAAGACAAAATCAAAATGTTGAGCCAAAGGATGGTGCCATGCCTAACTCAGTTTGTTGAGCTAAAATGTTCTTAACAACCTGCTATTGCCGTGCCAAATTTAAAAAAATGTCCAATTATTTGAGTTCAGCACAACAGTAGCATGGCATTTAAAACAGGCCTTACATTATCATTATTATTCATTATTTCTGGTAATGAAACTAAGGATTTCTCAAAAGCACCCTAGGCACTGTAGCTCGCAAGCCTGAAGAAACCTGTGGAGAGAAGACAATGAGAAGAAGTTACAGTTTTAGAGGTGGGAGGAAAACCCCAGAAGAATATTCTTGGGAAAACCCACGGAATCAGGCAGGGACTGAAAACCCAATTCACATATTGGCCCAGGGCGGGATTCAAACCTGGGTCACAGCAGTGGAAGGCGAGGATAGTACCGCTACGCCAACCTGACTCCCCCTAAATGAATTGGAGGTTTGCGGTAACACCATGTGAATGATATCTGGTTTAACTCGACATTTAGAACAGGGTGCTCTGTTTGTCAACAGGAGACTTGCTGGTGTAGTAGTTAAGTCTCATTTAGACCTTTAATAGCTTTCATAACTAGATTTAGTTGTATCATTTCTCTTTCTCTTTTTGAGGTGGTGCTGGGTAACAAGACTTTCATCAGCGATGTTGACGTCTCTCCTGCGCTGTCTGTGACAGATGAGATGGAGGCAGATACTGTGTTTGGTCAAAACTTTGACAATTTTGTAGCTGACGCTGTGAACCTGACCAGCAATGTCACAATCACAGGTAAAGAAAAATATCTTTATCATCAGCAGCAAAGTTTTCTTTATGATATATATTTATTTTCAATTGTAGCATAATAGATATCATCTTTGGCAAGTCATATTGACACGATACTTTATCCTTTATTCATAAATACCTCAGCCCGCACAGTTTACCCATTCCTTTCAGTCGAGAGCTCGAGAGCACGTGGGTGGTTTTAAACCACTGGTAAAACACTGATGCATTCTGCGGCACGTCGTGTGTGTGTGCACACACCAATTACCAATTTATCACTCCTCGCGAGAGGCACATACCGTACAAGTCGTGGAACAAAATCTTTAGAAATTTGTGATTTTTTTTACTTGTTTTGACTTTTTGACCGAAAAAGGTATTTTCAGCTTGGGCCACTGTGGACTTAAACCATGGACTAAACTTTTGTGATCTTTGCAATCAATCTGATCTGTATAAATTTCATCTCCTAGGAGCGAAGACCTTTTTAGGTGATGTACAAGCTCAGGCTGATGTCTCAGTAGACGGCACCGTGGATGGCATCCGCATTGAGGACGTTGTCACTAAAGACGGTAAAGACTAGGACCCTAAATAGACTTCATGTTGGAATACTTGTCAACCTTCCTTCTCATTAAAAAGAAAATACAGGATTTTATTATTTGAGGGGCAAATTTGTGGTGCTACGGAGCAGAAAAAGAAGCTCGGCAAATTCTTGTGCAAAAATTCAGTTGAGATCTAGCCACAGAACTTTCTATTGCATAAAATAATCGGCTTTTGCTCGGCACATATTTTGGTTCCATACCCCATGCATGCATATGGATGTTTTATTTCTCCGTGCAAGTTTCAATGTGCATGTTTTGTTTTAACCAAAAAACTACATTATTTTAATTGTTTGCACTTCAACCGTCTGCAAATGGGGCTTTCGTTGTGTGCACAAATGAACCCACCCTACGAGAGCCAAATTATTGTCTGGCAGCTAATAATTCAAATTTTGTGAAGAAATAATGCAATTACTCAACGCCAGTGGAATTTTACTTTCGTAATTTCAAAAGTGAATAAATTTGATATTGCTAGGAAAATAGCAATTTAAGAAAATGAATCTTTTTTTTCGAGGTGAATCTTGAAAATAGCACAGGGAACGCATCATAGAGTTTTGGACTCGAGTTTCAAGCCTACTGCGAAATACCCGTCTCATATCATTTTTTATTCCTGTCTTCCTCAGGCGATCAAGTCATCACTGGCGTCAAAACATTCACCAAGACAATCGATGTCAACGGACACATCAACATAACAGGTAGGAATTTGGGTAAAAAAATAAAATCTAAGAAGATGGGCCCATAGGCAAGGGCTTGTGGCTTGGGCACTTGGGTCAATTCTGTGGTGACGGACCTGGACATTAATGGCCGTTTGATTGTTCAGGGACAGGCAATTTGTTCCTTCCGTAAAATAAGTTAGGTTACACGCAGTATGTACCAACAAACTTCACAGTGTAGAATGTAGCTAGCTAGGGACCTTTCCACAAAAGAAAAATGCGTATTTATTTATTATTTATTTATGATTATTTGGCAATTGGCCGGCATAGCCAACGAAACTCATTCGACTCTTTCGAAACCCCTTGGAATCAGGCAGGGACTGAAAACCCAATCCACATATTGGCCCAGGCGGGATTCCAACCTGGGTCTTGGCGAGGAAAGTACTGCTATGTCAGCCTGTTGCCCCCTCGTTTCACAGCCTTGTTTGGGTTACCACACTTTGTAATCATTGTGTACATATTAAGACTGAAGCCCTGGCCTTATTGGACTTACAGGTGCACGTGTATGCAATACACAGGTTGAAATTTCTAATTGAAAGGTACTTTTTTAAAAGCTAGAACAACTAACTCTAAGTTAGCGCAACTTTTCTTCTGTAGTAAGCACAATTTGTTTAACTTACTGGAACTCACTGTCATGATATTTGCCTCTATTCTTCTCATACCAGGGTTAGTAAATGGCGTCAACATCTCTGACCTCTACGAGAGAACCTTCAAGCTGGACAGCCCCCAGAACGTGACGGCCGTCAAGAAATTTACGCAGGACCTCGAGGTGACAGACGACGTTATCATCACCGGATCGGTGGACGGCATAGACTTGAGTGAAGAGGCGGTGCCCCTCGGTACAGACCAGACCATAGAGGGCGATATTTCCTTCACCACCAACGTGACCGTGAACGGGAACATGACAGTAGGAGGCAAGTCCTTGTTGATTCCTATTGCCTCCGTGCATGTGATAAGCTGTCAGTGAAAAAATGATGTCGCTTTCATATTAGTGCTTCAGCATTCCTCTTGAAAGTACCGTGTTGCATGCCACGTTGTATGTGCTAAGGTTTTGTGTACATTTGTTTGGTGATGAATTGCATACATTTATGACTTCAGTGACTCATAAAGGTTAGCACGCAATTAGGCTGCCCTCTCTTAGTAAGCCATCAGCCTCGGTCCAAAATTTTGGCCACCGGTATCAAATGAGGGGAATAATCGTCATAGCGATTTTTGGCAAGGTATACACCTCTAGAGTTGGAAAATATGTAATAGCATTGCAGCGGTGGCAGCTTTTTGGGTGTTATCACTCTTTTTTTCAAATTGTCCATCAAAATGCTTGTTACCACTCTAGGGGCGGTTTACCTTGCGCATGCGCACTATAACCATTTATGCCCTGATTTGATACTGACCAAACCCCAGGCTGATGGCCTATAGTGTTTGAGAGTAGGTAATGAAATTTAGATTAGAAATTTGCATGGTGCAAATGACAGTTTACATTAGCACTATGTGGTAGTTATCTTTTAAAAGTTACGTGTGATTCTCTTGACATTTACAAATGAGTTCCAGTTTCAACGTAATTTCAATAGTTATCTGTCTACTTTTTTTTTTCTTCCTTTTTCTTTGCTTCCTATTCCCTCCCGTCTTCGTGTAGCCCTCACCTCATGTGGCCCTTAAATAGGGCCTTGTGATGGGCGACTCTCATACATAAAATTACAAAAACAGCAGTAAATTTTATTTTATTGTATCTAGTAAGGATGTGGCTGTGCAAAAGGGCCTTTTGCTAATTTTCATACGTAAAGGTATTTTTGTCCCTCATCACATTTCATCTCTCTGTTTAGCCTCAAATTCTAAACCTTTTAGGTAGCAAGAAGAAATTGTGTATTTTGTTATTTCAAAAATAAAAAAACGATCCTTTAGGAGTCTTAAACAGCAGCCAAGTCCTGTAATCTTTTTTTTTTTGAAGGGGCAGGGAAGAGGTGGTGTCGTTTTCAGTTCACAAGATTTATTGTTTCTTTCGCCATTCAATCAGGATATGTTGATGGTGTAAACCTGACTCACCTCGTAACAGAGCGAGCAACCCTGTCAGGCGACGAAAACGTCCGCAGCGATCTGACCTTCCTAGGTCATGTGACCTTCAGGGGAAATGTGACCGTCAGAGACCTGTTTGACGGTGTCCCATTGCAGACGCTGTGGGATCTCCATGAACACTTGCTGAAGTGGATCAGAGTGGACATAGAGAACTTACTGCTGATCTCTGCAGATCAGTGTCATGACGTTAAGCTGTTGCAATGGGCTTATGCACGTAAGTGACGATATCGGCAGAGCTGTAAATCGAGTCAGTCATAAGGCAGTCATAGATCAGTCGCAAGTCAGTCATAGGTCAGTCACTCGACCATCACAAGTCTGTCACATGTCAGTCACAAGTCAGTCAAAAATCAGTTACAAGGCCATCAGAAATCAGTCACAAATCAGTCACAAGTCGGTCACAAGTCAGTCACAAGTCAGTCACAAGGCAGTCACAAGGCAGTCACAAGTCAGTCACAAGGCAGTCACAAGTCGGTCACAAGTCGGTCACAAGTCGGTCCACAAGTCAGTCACAAGTCAGTCACAAGTCAGTCAAAAGGCAGTCACAAGTCAGTCACAAGGCAGTCACAAGGCAGTCACAAGGCAGTCACAAGTCAGTCACAAGTCAAAAAGCGAATCACAAGTCAATTCCCTCTTTATTATCGCAAGTCAAGTCACAAGTAACATGGAATGCATAGTGATAAAGGTCAGTTGAATAAAATGCAAATTGACTTGAGAATGGCTGATTTTATAATAATAATAAATGACTTGTGATTGACTTGCGTATTAGCTCTACCACATTCATTCTTTGATAGTTTTGTCTTCGTTTCAACTGGCACAACTTCTTTTATCAAAATATTGAAAATAATGGTAATTTAATTTTACAGTAAAAATAAAAATAGCATCAACAATGTACAGTAGTGTTTCTCACAAAAACCACCAACGTTTAGTTTAACATAACAACCCACAAAGCAACATGACAACCTTGTTGGTTTACAGACACCGTGGAAATGCTGGCTCACGTCTCCCAGATCCAGGAGGTTGAGATTCAGATCCAGAGTTTTGAGTCGTTTGTGCTGGACGACGTCACCCACCTAGCATTGGCCGTCCACTCCAACACTGTCGACCATCTCTGTGTGGATAGCTACGTCTATGCCTGGGATGCAGACACTGACAAATTCGTCCAGAAAGGTTTGTACTCATGACATTTTTGTAATAGCGCTCCAGTATTAGTGTGTGGTTCAACCATGAATCCTCTACACAAGGATAAACGACTCATCTAAACTTGTGTACAAAATGTACGGAACGGATTGTCTACAACATGCATCTGCACATAGAACAGCGCATAGAACAACGTATAGAATATGTAGAACAATGCGCACACGCGCACCCGACAGCTGGCTGGTGCCCTACAAACTCCACTGTGCAGTCGTGCCTGCATGCACGTCTCGCATATGCGCATGCGCGATGCCCAAGTGCCATATCATACTTGTAACCATGAATTTGGGGAAGTCGTTTATCCTTGTCTAGAGGATCCGTGGTTCAACCTCCATGTGGGAGAAAGCTTTTCTAATCTCAAAATTAATTCCGAAAGTTAAAAGAAATAGCAGAAAATAATTGAATAAACCTCAAAGCACCTGAAAAGTGTTCATTCCAAGACATAACCCTCCACTTGAAAAAACAGTTGGGAGTAGAGAGTTTCTTCCTTGCACATTTTTGAGTTGCAGTTATTTTTATAAGATAAGTGTTCGACAGTTCTGAAAAAAAAGTCACTATGTTGAGTTTTGATCAAATACTGCAAACCTCAAATTTTGATAGTTTTATGAGTGAAGGGAGAGAACTGAGCTGAGTGGGGTTTGAACCGACAACTTTTGAAAACTGAACTTCATTCTCCTATGTTGTTTGCAGTCTCTCAACTTGTCATAGGGCATAGTAGCTCTATCGGTAGCTCACCGGTACGGTGTTTCAGAGGTTGCTGGTTCAAATCCCACTTTCGGTTGCATTTTCGTATTTCAGTCAATATTCTTTTTTTACATTTGTTAAATTTGTAAATCTTGTTGTGTTCCATTTGCTTGCCAAGCCTCCTTCGCAACTAACGGCGCATACAACTGGCATGCCTTCGAGAGACGGGAAACAGTCTACCTTGCTGTGGCAAACGAAGGCACCAACCCTTGCAATGGAGGTAAGGACAGATACCCATCAATGTTTGTGTCTCCTGGGCCCAGTTACTCAGAGCAGAAAATATCGATCGGCAATTTTTCTTACAGAGCAGAAAGAAGTCACATGACCAATTGTCTTTTGTACTTTGTATCAACATGCTGATTTATTATGTAGAAAAGACTGTGTCTCAACCTCGACATTCTGATCATGTAGCGGGCGCTTTCTATATCAGGTTTCATCATGGATATCTATAAATAAAACCAAGACACGGCATCTATTATTCTTTTTTTACCCTGTGAATTGACCACAAAAGTCTGTGGTCACGCACTCTGTAACGATATGTTACGCGATACGCCAAGCGATAATAGAGCCGGCCAATCACGGTCGTGTCTAAGTTTTGTAGATCTATGCGCGCCCGGCCGTTGCTGTATTTCAAAAACACTGTATCCGAATCTTCGTCCAGGTTTGGGAATGAAATGACGTCACAATGAAGTAAAATCAACCCCGATTGCCTGGCGCGTGGCATTGCATAAAATTGCATTCTTAGATATATCAGACGTTGGACCGGAGATAGGGCTCTTCGGACAAACGGGTGATACTCGGACTAGTGATTTCCTGAATTGTTCCTACAATTTTGTAAGTCATGCAAACAATTCCCAAATGATGTGATTTGCTTAATTATTCGCACCGTAAACTGAAATGATTTTTTTTTTTCACAACTGTGCCTTTCATGGCTTTCTACCATTGCAATTTGAAATATGTAGGAGAAATTCTCACAGAGATTGAAAAATCCTCCTTTTTTTCTGAATGCCCAATTGTAAGTCTATGAATATCCATTCCAATCAGGTTCATACCAGTTTTTTCAATGGGCAATTTTTTTTAATTTTTCAAATTTGTTTGACCTGTTCAGATGCGAGTGTCAACAACACCATCTATTACTACAACGGCAGCCAATTTCTGGAGTACCAAGACCTGGTGTCTGAGGAGTCACGAGAGATCGACACGACGGTCATCAACGATGACCTGTACCTGGCCGTAGCCAACACCAAGACCAGTGCTCTGTCCTATCTCTACCTGCTGGCTGCTGACGGGCTGTTCTATGAAGCGCAGAACTTCAGCATCGGAGGTAAAGTATATCAATATTATACTGAGTCACTTATTCATTCCGTAGTAACATTTGCAGTTTCTCAAAAAAATACCTACCAATTTAACGAGAAAATGCTTGAAGATAGGACTGGTATCAACCCTGTGAAAATATTCTGCCTGAAATGGTATCATTCGGAAGGAAACAATTATTGACCGTGGTTTTAGACTATGTGCCCGTGGGCACAGTTTTTTGTTTACATGTGTTAGCAATGGAATCTAGTTACAAGACCCCAAAAATTATGCATATTTTTTTTTTCTGTTTGCTCAAAGATGAAGCATTATCATTTGATGATGATTCATTTCTCGTGATCAATTTCAAGAGTTTTCCAGCACAGTTCTAAAGATTTGCTCTTGCCATCTGCTTGCAAGAGATATTGATGCTCTGTATTTTGTGATCCAGGTGCGACATCCGTTGAGTTCTTGCAAGCTGGCAACACAACGTTCCTTGTGTTCGCAGCTGTCAGCCCGACGCAGAGCCCCATTTACATATTCAACAACCAGGTTAGTTGATTGGACAGTTGATCTCACACAACAGGATCACATTGATAATGTAACAAATTGTGTTCTTTATACTGTTGATAACATATATCACGTGAATCGGGAAATGCGAGAATGGCACAAAGTCACCACACCATTCCAGAGCATCACCAGAGCATCAGACTTGCAATAAATCATCGGGGGTGAGATTTGTCAAGATTTTCCCTGATTTCGGGATTTTTTGTCAGGATTTTTCAGAATTTTTCAGGATTTTAAGATTTTTGAAGAATCCCTTTTGAAATGTGGAAATCCTATTAGGTTTTACAGTAAAGGCGTTTTCCCCAGAAAAGTTTAGGCCCTTGGCAACTCTCCAACCCTCTGTCGATTATTATTTTTTTTTTTTTATTTTCCCCCAATCCCACCCCTGAATCAGGTGTTTGAAGAAGTGTATTTTAGTCAAGACAATACAAATGTAGAATCCCCAGGAACTCTTCCGAACCAAAGTGTAGTGTACTGACCTGTTGAACTAAGCATCAGAGATTATCTACATATTGGTCCCAATTTCATGATGCTGCTTAAACAGAAAATGTTGCTTTTAATATTGCAAGAAATTAATAATATTTCTTGCTGAGGCCAATTCCAGCGTTATGAAAGGTGGTGTCATGTCGGTGACAGGGCCAATTAACCATGATATCTAATGAATGACTCAGAGAAATAATCAAAAACTCCTAGTCTGTAATCTCCTTGACCATTACTAGATGATGGATGTATGAGATTCGAAAAAAAAACATTGTCAAGTTTATTCACTGAGCTCTTAAAAGCTCTGTCACAAACACAACCTAATGCTGGAATTGCTTCTAAGGGCCCTTCTCAATTCATATCTAGGACAAGGTCCAGACAAGTTTCGGGTAGAATCATTCACTTTGTCCAAAAGAAGCTTTGCACATGTTGCGGGGAAGTTGTTCAGATTCCTGCAACTTAAACCTGATACTATGTCCGCAACTTGTCCGCAACTTGTTCCGGATATGAATAAACAAAATTCTAAGCACAAGTCTTTTTGGAACCAGTCTTATGTAGAGCCAGCCTCAGGTCGACCTTGCGACGACACAGATCAGTCGGCGGCTGACTTTTCAAGATCAAGCTGTGCCTGAGCTACGACCCTTGGGAACAACTTAGTCGTTGATTTTGTGCGACCTGAGTGTAACTGCGACGATATTAAAAGATCGGCATCAGTTGGCGCTAAAAACAAAATCAACAGTCGCAAGAGTAGAAAAATGTCAACTTCTGCGACGTGTTCCGCGACAATCATAGGATTTCTCAGTTTTGTGACCTTAGCATAATTTGTGTGCTTGATGCCGACGGTTCAGTCGTGGCGCAAGCAAATCGTGGGTCGACCTGAGGCCGACTTAATGTATTCAACAAGACATTTTGACTGGTAACGTGTTCTTGCTAGCAGCTCAGTGACTTTGTCCCCTTTTATTTTCTTTAACCCTGCAGAGTGGCCAGTTTGATTTTCATCAGTACGTATCCACCAGCTACGCGACTGCTGTGGACGGGTTCATGTTCCGCCATGAAGCTGGATTGGCGTTTGCCAACCATGCAGAGCTGTTCGATAACAACAAGATTTCATGGGATGTGCCAATTGAGGTGAGGGTTCAGTTTTCGCAGTTGTGGTGAGCTATTTTGTAATTGTGTGGCTGGTTGGTATCCTGCTGGCTTTATGACTAAAATTGATGACTTAAGCCGTGTTCCCATGAGACTTTTTTGGTAAAACTAACAAAGTTGTCAACCTTATGGAGACTGTTGTAAACTTAATCAAATTATGTCCAGTGTGGACGGCTGGTAAAGTTGGCAAGTGTAGACTGTTGATTTTTAGTTAATAGACTTAGAGGCATTCGAACGGTTGCTAGGTGCGCAGGCGAAAGTTGCGTCACAAATCAATCACTAGTCAACTATTGGACCTCGCCCGAATTTCCTTACGAATTTAAGATCCATGCCGCGATGGGGGTTCAGGCATGTAATGACAAACAAAAATATCAAAGTAATTACGTATTGTTAGCAGAGATGCATACGGTATGCCAGAACCCCGGAATGGACCCCTGTGCAGTGAGGATGATTGTAAACCAAAACTTGAATTCTTTGATGAGGTGTTGCATGATGATGAGTACAACGTTGGTTGTAGCTTGTCAGTACACAAAGTAAACTCGAAAGCAGAAAGTGCGTTTCTGAGAAGAACTAGTATACAAATATTGAGTGGATCAGCGTGGAATGGGAGGAATATTATCGCAAGGTAAAATCTGGACTTTTCCATTTCACGAGGTGAAGCCGAGTGAACTGGAAAAGTCCAGATTTTACCGAGCGATAATCATTCCTCCCATTTCACAATTGAAAGCCACTCAATATTTGTTTTATATAACTGACATATAGATCGTTGTCATTTGATATATTTAAAACTTTTATTTCAATACAAAATAGGTGAAAACTGTATTTCTCTCTTCCAAACCACCCCTTCACGAAAGTGTTTGAATCCAACGCTGTAGCACTGGCTCTTTGGAACAATACGCGCTACGCGCAACGCTGAACGCGCTCACCAGCATGCATTTGCACACAAATACCGCGTCATGGAACAAGACTGATCCTAACTGTTCAATAGTATTTCCCATTCCCCATGCGTGGATAGTACTTTTTGAGCCCCGGCGTGAATGCAGTATTAATAAAGAATGACACGTGATGTGAGTTCCACTAATCAAATGACAAGGATCTGTTTGTTGGTTATATAAATGTATCTGCGAATTTGTCTGATGCAGGTTTTATTTTGTCTTTAAAATCTTCTTGGTTTTTGTGGTATAGGTGTATTTTTTGTCAAGGACGTCGGGGGAGTTTGAGCTGCATGAGCTGGTTGACTTCACTGCAGCGGTGGATGTTAAGATGTTTCACATCGGTCCTGATCTTTACATGGCTGCTGTCAGCGAGTATGAAGAGCTGCAGATATTAAAATATGAAGGTATTGATAATACATAATCAGATGTTCTTTAAATTTATGTGTGTGTGGAAGGGGGGATGTTGACGCTATACAACTGTGCATGTCTGTTTTACTTAAAGTAAAAGTAAAGTCTGTCATGAGCCAATGGGGCTGGCGTTTATCTCCGGTTTCAGTAGCATGAAACGACTGAGAATATCTCTGTTCTCGCTGACGGGATGCCTCTGCATCACAGGTTACTCCCCAGGGAATGCTGGTACCTATTTGTACTCCTGGGTGGAGAGAGGCAAGTTGGGGTTAAGTGGCTTGCCCAAGGACACAACCATACAGCCAGCAGCTGAATTCGAACCCCTGATCCTCCGACAATGAGTCTGCCATTAAAAAATGAAAAAACGCTACTCACAGTCTTCTGAGGTCTTGGAATTTCGTCTTGTGTGTGTGGTTGCACAGTTCGTTGGTTGCACCACGAACTGACGTATCGCATTTTTTTGTGTTTCGAGAAAAAACGATCTAAAGTTGGTCATAATTTTGTAGGCTCATTCCATATACTCCTTGTGTAAGAATTCAAGCTGTTTCGTTTTTGTTATTAAATTATAGATTGAACTTTATTGTATGCAATCCGTGTGCATCTGAGTTGCTTAGTTTTTGAGAAATTCAGTTCCAAAGTTATTCGTCACTTCGTGAAACAGATTTTTATCATGTTTATCGTATGTCATACAACAGGCGTAATACTGGCTTTGTGCCAGATACGGAGATACGTCGGTTCGTGAAACGCTAAATTCCAATTTTTCATGTCGACGCTCCTTTGTGACGTCATAGCACTATGGGAATTAACGTGTAAAGCGGCGTATCGGGATACACCACTTCGTGGTGCAGCATTTTTCATTTTCTAGAGATACGCCGCACAGTCTAATTAGCGTTCTTAGTTAATTAGAACTCAGATTGGAATAAAACTTTCTGAGAATGAGCACTTTGATGAAATAATAACGTTAATGACAAAAACTCAATTTGGCAAAAAATCGAGACGTCATAGCACTATGGGAATTAACGTGTAAAGCGGCGTATCGGGATACACCACTTCGTGGTGCAGCATTTTTCATTTTCTAGAGATACGCCGCACAGTCTAATTAGCGTTCTTAGTTAATTAGAACTCAGATTGGAATAAAACTTTCTGAGAATGAGCACTTTGATGAAATAATAACGTTAATGACAAAAACTCAATTTGGCAAAAAATTGAGATACGCCGGTTCGTGGTGCGACCGACGAGTTGCTGCCCGAGAGTTACTATCAAGTCATAACAAATTAAATCCAAAGTCATCTTTGACAAATATATTCCTCTTGTCATTGTTCAGCATCTTCTGTCTTGTGATCAGACTTGTGGTCTGACTTGTGGTTGTCTCAATAACACTGCTCCTTATTGAATGGTGTATTACATGCACGTCCAAAATCTTTCTAACTGTACATATTTCCCCCCCTTGTGTCATTCAGGCTTTGTCGGTTTCAGTCCTGTCGTCACCCTAGCAAGTTATGGCGTCGTATCCGTTGAGGTCTTTGAACTGATTGGTGCGTCGAGCTACGAGAACCTCTTCTTCGCAATCGGTATCGATCCGGTCACCACCGACGACGTTTACTCGCGAATACTGGCAGAAAAAGTCATTGGTAAGATTTGCTGTTTTTACAAATTGTTTATCAATGCAAAAAGGTGTGTGAAGTTATTAATAGAAATGCACAGTGATTTTGCACGGTAAAGATGTCTCAAATAGAAGGGTCAAGTATCATACACCTGAAGATCGTCGGGGAAAAAAGGAACTGAAAAGTTTGGATGACATTCTGTTCCAAGTATAGGAGAAAAGGTCATATTGTCTCTGTGCATGTGTGGCACTTTAAAGAAGAATCGTTTAAGGCCTTCAGAGGAATCTCTTGATTGTTGATGTCTCCTAGCGTGGTGCGGCCATTAAGGTGGCGCACTTGTTTTGCCTCTAGTACTTTGCTAGAGTACTAGAGCAAAAGGTTCGGCTCAAATTTCACAGGAAGTGAACTTTCATGAAGATCAAATAATTTCTTTTCATAAACCTTGAGTTTACCTTCCCAGTACAAAGTTAAGAGAGAAACATTACTTTTGTACGATTTTCTTATTTTTATCTTAAAGTGCACAGTGAACCCTTTAAAAATGCGCCCAAAAATAAGGGGGAAAAAACGTTTTAACATGAAGTTGAATAATGACTTATCATAATTTGTCAACTTTGAAGAAATTCTGAAATGTTCACGTGGGAGTTTAAAAAAAAATTGTTTTGAGTGCACCACGTTAAGGAACACGTGGGCCAGATTTTTTCCCACCAAATTTCTGGACGCAACCGTTTTTGAATTTCGGGACACTAAAGTTTGTTTAGGAGTCAGCAGCAAGCATTATTATCATAGTACCAGTATTTAACGGAATGAAGTTCAAGCTTGTCAACAAAGAGGTTTGGCAACACTGCACAAGGAAAGTCGGGGGAACTGCCGAAGTGTGCCATGTTATGATTCTCTTTATACCCTTATCCAATTTCTCGAGACATTTTCAATTATTTATTTCTGTGGGAAAAACTTATGTTTTTTTATTTCATTTCAGGTCAGACAGTGATGTTTAAAATCTTACCATGTCCCGTTGTCGTGGAGGAGTCCTTCCATGGGGATCCCAGTCTGCTGGATAGGCCCCTCGATGACTGATTCCAAGAAGTCCGGTAACTAGACCTCAGGACCCAACTTGGAATTTATTCACGACCAAATAGGAATCTTTTTGTCTCCAAATGAATGGATTGAAGACTAACAAAGTTGTTTTAACCCAAAGGCATTTGTGGTCACAAGAGAGGCACAATCCAGTAAATGAGAATGAATTAATGCAAAATTTAAATTTATGAAAAAAAAATGAATATAAATTAAATAAATAAATGTGAATTGACTGTGATGGGTTTTGTAACAAACCTTAATACTACACTGAAATTTCCCAAAATATAAAAAATAATATAGTACCGTAAATATGATGTTTCATGCGACACCATACCCAAAAGTAGTGCACTGATAGGGTAGATTCATACATCAGAAACTGTTTAAGGCAAATTTTCCTCTGCAGATTTGCAAAAGTTGAACACATTTCAATTCAATGCATGCAAATTCGCCTTTGAGTTGGCGTGAAGTATAAAATGGCCTTAATAGTTGTAATGGTGGTTATGGGATATAGGTGACGATAGATTTTCTTACCGATTTTTGATAATGTTGATGTACAAAAACTGGCCAGTCAAGATTTTAATACGAATAATTCAATGAATAATAATAATAATAATCAAAATAATGATCAATTTGTCAGCTTTTATATTTATAGATCAAATCAACATTTTAATATAGAAAGTAAAAATGCAATTCAATTGCGGAAAAAAATATTTAAAAACGCTAAAAGTATTTATGAATGCACTGATATTGAAATGTTCGGTATTTTTGTGTGCACTTAATTTAATATATTTTGGGCACTAAATGTTTGAGATTGACAGCGGTTTGAGTAGCATGGGGAATCTTGTTTGAAATTTGTTTAAAAAATAATTTCTCAAAATTATAAAGATAATGTTCATTATTTGATTAAATGTTGTTTCAGCACTATTCTAGAATAATTTGGTATCACTTTTAAGTATATCCAATAGATAATATTAAAGTGTTTCTCTATGTTGTGTGGTCTTCACAATTTTTGATGTTAGTGCAAATTTGTAATTTAGTGATTTTGGGCTTCTAAATTTGAAAAATCGAGTAAATAATCACATAAAATGTTTAACACCACATATTTTCGTGTCATAATTAAATTTTGATGGTTTTTCTATATCAGGCACTTGTCACCAGTAGAGCAGAGTATTATTCTACTGTCTATTTTGAGAAAGTGTGGATTTGTATCGAGATCAATTAAATTTCATTTAACGATTAACTTGCCACCAAATTTTGACCAGAAAAGTTATTTTGTTTTCCCCTTACATTTAAACTGAAGGAAAATTTACTCCAAGTATATTCGGAGAAAAAAAGTATTCTGGGATCTTGATTTCAATTGAAAAGTTGCAGAGTCATGTTATGAATTGTGCCCGAAATCAGCATCCGGGACACGTTCTCATTCAGCCGATCGCAGCTACGCTATGTCACGCACTGAACTGACGAGCTACAGCAACCGCGCGCGGCGTGTCGTGTTAACGCTTGCGGGCACTCGTTCATGGCTTTCCCGAATTAAAGACAAATTACTTACAGAAATTTCCAAAAATGTGTCTTTAGACACATCTTTGGAAATGACCATCTTTTATTGTTTTCTTCAAAATGACAGCATGCCAGAAATAACAATTGCACAGGGAGTATAGTACCATTATTATCTTTAAGCCAAGTATGATTTCCAACAATAATTCCGTCAGCTACTTTTTGGATAGCTGCAAATGGTATGTACTCGGACCATGTACTCTATCTTTAAGGGGTGGTCGATTCTTTGTGAAAAAAAAATTTAAAAAATCTTTAATTACTTTTTTGTTTACAACGTCAATCTGCAAGTCCTGTTCTACCTTTCCCCCGTTTTTTTTTAAAGTTCTATCAAACATCTGTAAAACCCATTTTCATCCCATTTTATAAGTTGACTGTTCATTTACTGTAATACAACAGCAGGATTTTTTAAGGCCATTTTCTCAAAAATCTAAATTTATAACTTCAATGTAGTCGACGGTTGATAGTTCCATAACTAAACTCAGTAACCCCAGAGGTTATACACCATTAGAAAATAATTTGTTCTGCAGAATCCAGAAATAAAATATCTAAATTCTTAAAAACTTTTACTTCATGCTGATTTCGTGGTGACAGGTAACATTGCCCGCACTTAGTAAAATAAATATTTCACAAACTAAATTCCAAATTTGACAGGGACACATTCAAATGACAAGCAAAAGGCAACAGTGTTTACACTTTGTTGTCCGCGTTTCTGTACAGTTTTTATTTCATTGTCTGATAGATAATAAGGACTCTACTAATCATCACATATTTAACACTTGATCTTCCTAACACTCTTGAGGGAAAAACAACAAATGAATGAGAACAGTTATTCCATTTTTATTTGGATACAAATTGCAATCACTGAACACGTTTTTTGGCAGTATGTGAATTTCAGTGCTGAAGTGGTGGCTAATTTTCCAAACCTTGTTTTCACTGTTGTCTCTGGCTTTCGCTACATAATTGGCTCAGGCATCATTTATAAGCTTTTCATGATACAATAACATTGAAAACTATAAAATTCATGCCCCATTTCATAGTATTTGATGCTCAAGAAGCACAGAAACTGACCAATACTGAGCCACAAACTTATGAAGCTTGAGCCTGATGGCAAATCCAGAGACAAAACCGCAGTTTCGTAAATGCCGTATTTTTCAAGGCATCACAGCCATCGATTCCAGATTTTTCCAGATTTTTCCTACTTTTTCCCTAAATTATAAAAATAGGAAAAATTTGGAAGAAACGGCAATTGCAATACATTATATCACTATTAAAATGGCTGGTTTTTTTTTTTATTAAAATGAATTAAGAGTAACACCAACAGCCAATAAGAGTCCAGCACTGTAGTGAGCGTATAAATTTCATCCAATGGCAGCCTTGTGATGGAATTTACATAATGGTTTCATCCAATAGGCTTCTAGACATGAAATTAACATAACCGTTTCATCCAATCATAACAATGTATCTGTAAGGTTGCTTTCAATTAGAAAGGTTGCGGGCAACTTCTTCCAAGAAGAGATTTCTTTCCACATGGTGCAAACTTTCTAATTTATCTCATCCGCCATGCAAAGCTCGTAGTCATATATAATGTTGCTTTCGTTTGAACTGACATAAGAAAATATTAATTTCTTGGCAGGATACAATTCTAAATGGTTCCCTCTAAATTAAACACACACAATTTTGGACTTGACTTATACAAATGGGGGGAAGAAAGAAAAATCTCCGCATATGCAATTGACATCTACACAAAAAATGATCTCGGTTATTTACATGAACATTAATATATAACAAAACCATTTTCAAAAAAAAAGTGACCGGGCAACTGGTAATGTTCTTCATGTATTGAACCAGACACCATATATAAATAGGAAGCGAGCACCAGTTGCCTGGTGACTTTTGAAAAGATCTACACCAACCAAAACTTCCATTTCATTTTTTTTCCTCGGCTAATTTCTTGAGACTGCACATTCCAATATTGACTGGATACATTCAGGTGGTACAAATTGACAAATACCTCAATTTTATATGGATCACATATGGGTCTTATTTCATAGTGCTGCTTGAATCTTCGCAGTTAGCAGTATATTTTTCTTCTGTAGTCAGTGCTGCTAACTTTGGCCTTTCGTTGGCATAGTTTCTAACCACGGTGGTACCCGGTGGGCAAAACCCCATATTAATACTTACACCATTTTTTTTTCTCTTCAAATGTTGAGTCGGCATTTTTGCTGTGCGTACTGCTTGTGGTGTCCATGGAATAGACAGACTCAAGTGGCAGGAACTTGTGAGCTAAGCAGCACCACGAAACAAGGCCCAACTTGTTATTTTTTTTTTAGCCTTATCTGTGTACGTTAGAAAACAAATATGGTTAATACTTGGTGCACACAACAACTATTTTGAAGTTCCTGCTGCATGAATCGAGACAAGCGTATCCACTGCTGGAGATGTGTACATGTACATGTATTTCACATTTCTTATTTGTTTTGGAGTACCGGTAACCAAAGTTTATGCAAATATCCCTCGATAGAAATGTTTAATTTTCTCATATTACAGATAATGTATTTTCCCAGGGCTTTTTAGACCCAGTAAAAATACTTTCAAAAGTCAATAGTTCTATCTTTAAATCTCCATGAAAATTGTAAGTAGATAGGATTTCATTTAATCTGAAGAATAGGTTACCACCAACAGTAAAGGCTTTTCAAATTTGGCTCCACGCTTGTGACAGTGTGAAAAGTTTCTGTTCTTTACCGCAAGGTAAACATTCCTGAAGTTGTTCCCTCTCTACGTTGTAATCAAATATCAAATCCCCCAACAAAAGAATTGCAAAGTCAAAGAACACCCACTTTGCACTCCCTTAAAAAAACATTTAATTCAGGTTCGAAGTCATGCTTTTTAATCCACATTCTGACTTCAGGACATGGAAGAGCTATATGAATATCAATTTTAAAAAAAAACAAGATTCTGGCAGGACTTGCCACCAGAAACATCCTTTGGTCGTCAGTCCGTCTGGCAATTCATGTCCCATAGTTTATAGTTTTTCTCTTTTTTTTTTTCATCGGCACAAAAAATCTATGAATTACTTCAAAGCATACAAAAAGTTACGTACATTGTCTACGAGAGTCGCTATATGGTTCACATTCATAAACGGTCTTTGATACAGTATTAAACAACCATGCGTTACTGTAGGTCACATTTTTTTCACACAGATACAAAAAAACAAAATAACTTTATATTTTTAATAAGTTTCATCAAGCGTCAGTCGTTTCATCTACATGTACCCGCTGTCGCAAAGTTTAATCATTTCTTCAAGTGTTTTTAAGAACATTCTTGTCAAATATTATTTGCTCTCACATCAACAGTCTTGATACAAAAAGTTGATTTTGTCCAATCAGTTCAAAATTCCATGACATTGAGACCTAATAAACAAGTGAGCACGAATGCATTCCTTAATCCTAACCACCTCGGTCCTTTTGAGCTAGGAACCATCCTCAATCCTGCAAAATCCTCCAATTTCTACCATGTAAAAATTGGATTCAGCCTCAATCCTCTGAAATCATCTGTTATTTCTTCAAATTATTGAGTGGAGGGTTGACCACTTCCTCAATCCTTCAAAATGCTCCAACAATCCTGTCACAACACATTGAGGCATTGCCAGTGACATCCAGAAGCAGTGCGGATGGTACCAAGTATAATGCAGAACTCAATTATGTATGGCTGAACATAAATACTGCAGGGTACAGCCTACGACCTTGATACAATGCATCCTCCAAAATCAACTGACACTTTTTTGGCCATTCAGCCTCAATCCTCCAAAACTGCTTGATTGATTTTAGAGGATCAAGGGTTAGGGTTAAACTTTAGGCATTTCTGCCAAGAAGCCTGCAAAATCCTTCAAAATGCAACACTATACAACAAACTTGAAACAGGGTCTCAAATGCAGGGTCTCATGTACAGCAATGCTGGCAGAGCTGTGTGGCCCTTATTTCATTAACAATTATGGCAAAAATTACATGTGGTTAGGCCAAAAAAAAAAGTCTCTGGTTTCTGGTATGGAGCTTGCCCAAAAAGTGGTGCGGCGACGCGGCTTTTTTTTTTTTTTAACCTGATTTTTTTGCTTCAAATGTCGGCTGATGACTGCAAATGGTGCCCGACCAAACTTAGTGCAAATATATGGGAGTCCAGAGAGGCCACATAAAGCTTATTCTCGACCATAACCCAATCTAAAAACACGTTAAAATTGTGCAGCAGCAGGATTCCAGTCAAACCAGTGAGTTTGGCGGTTTTGAGACATCATCTTTCATTGAAAAAAAACCTTTTTCATTTTGCCGACGCGCATGGCTACGGCGACGCGCGCGCATACCAGAAACCGGAGACTTTTTTTTTTGTGGCCTTATTAGATACTACTTAAAGTGCATCAGTGCTCAGAGGTTTTTGTTTGTAGAACTGGTGGGGTGGGATAGACTGGGGTACGATGGGAACCTGGGATGCCTATAAGTACATGCTGTCCCCCACTACGCTGCGAAGCACAACTGAGATCTTACAACACACACACACAACTACACATGCATTTTGTGATCACGCTACATCAATATACCCGTTTAAGATGTGTCCAAAAAATAAGACAAAACACAACGCTCAAAGACTGTTCAAAACCTGAACTGACGTAGAAAAAAAAAATGCTTTTTTTTGTGACAACCAAATATATTATAGTAATGCTACAATATTTTGCCGTGCAAAATGCACTTTTGTTACCAAAAAAAGAAAAGTGTGTTCAACAAAATCCCTTAACAAGTTTGAAAGGCAGTATGCTGAAGAGATGTAGATGTAATAAACTTAAACAGTGAACATCGATGAACTGCAGTCCATGGCCAGGTAAGAGACCGTAAGCATGTTTCTTCGGCCATTTTGAATCGTGTGAACATAATACGCATAAGTGAACGACGTCTCTACAGTCTACCTGCTACCAGTGCATACAGGAGGAACGCACGCAAAAAAGAGTGTACGCATGAAATCAACTTAACCATGAAATGACGCTACTCATTAGTCTGGTAAGCCAAGGGAGCTCTGGCATAGCACATTCTGTAGCGTGGAGTTGACTCTGGAGACAAGACCTCTGCCACTGTTTTTCCACACACCAACAGTTTTTCGACTTTGCGAATAAATGGTGCGGACCTTTCAAAGATTTATACACACATCCTTCCTTTTCCCCCTACGATCCTACAACATTGGGTGGACTGAAAATATTTGGCCAATTTCACTTAATAATGCCTTTGATTCTTTTTGGGCTCTTTGGCCTAATATTAGATATTAACATCAATTGACATTCGGTTCTTTCCTGTCAAGGGAGACCTATGCCCACCGAGGTACAGAATCAAGACTCTTTAATTTACAATCAAACGCCAGGCCTGATATACATGTATCTTTGTGTTAAACTCCTTGTATGTACGTTGATATATATACACATGTATGTATCTGCTCTCGGCAGGGGAGAGTGGTGCATGCTTGCTTCCGTTTATTTTAATATCCACAATGAGCAGCGATTGCGTACTTGATCGGTTACAAGTCAAATCACTTGACAATCAACTGATTGGTTCACGTTTTGCCTTCAGCAAATCAGCTCTTGACGTAACGTCTACAAAATCGGTCGGTCTTGGTATCAAACAGGTCACATCCAATCTCCCAGTGCCCAGTGTACAGTTCTGTCCATTTGTCAGTACTCCAGGTTACCATCTAAAAAAAGTTTAGTCCAGTCTTGAAGACCATCCAAGCGTTGTCCATGACCACCTCCGGAGGCCCTTCTCTCTCGCTCAAGAAAACAACTCCTTCATCTAATTCCTTCTGGCCTGTTTCTCTGCTTGTCAATTTTCTTACGCCATATTGCATCACCCTTCACCGTTCTGTTGTTTGTTTTTCATTCTTTAATCGATACGGAGCACTGCCCACATGGCGTGATGGTCATTTCCGCAGGTAGCGGGACGAGGCCGTCCGCGGCACGCCGTCCTCCCGCGACAGCTCGTTGGGCTTGGTGGCGCCGCCCAGGCCGCTGCCAATGCCGCCGTTGATTGCAGAGTATGGAGTTGTCAGTCGGCCTAAGCCCATGTCGCGCCGCGTCAGGTCGGGGCCCGACATGCCCGGCGGGGCCACGCCGCGGTGCAGGCGTCGGCTGACTGAGCGCTGGTTATCGGCTCGGGAGATTGGACGGGGTGATGTGGGGTTAGCTGCAAGAGGATTAGAAAACAGAGAAGTTGTTAATAACCACTTCACACTTTTTTCCTGTAACTTACGGACTCAGAAATCCAACCAGTAGTGTGTTTAGTCACGGGAATAGGTCTCGTTCAAATGACGTCATTTCCTACAGACCATCCACGTGCATCGGCATTTTGAGCGTCAATTTGCATAACGCGCATCGGCTGCGTCCTATTTCGAACACGCGTGTTTGGAAAATTTTCAACACTGCGCAATGCGTGCTAGATTGCGTAAAATACGCAGTTGCACTTCTCCTACAGAAATGGCGGTCATTGAATGAGCCCTATTCAAACCTTCTCATCATATCTATGATTGACAATATTCGCCTGTAATAAATACTTCCTTTAGCCTCTGATCTGCTGTGTACAATACACATCATAGAACTCTTTAACAAAAGAGCTTTGTGACTGAACAGTATTTTTAACATCTGTCACTCTCTGCAACAGGTGCAAGTGTATCAACAATTATTTCTGAAGATGAAGAGGTTTGTACACAGGTCATTCTATAAATTTAGTGTCCAAAGTGTGACATCTTTCATGAGCCTGTTACAATGTACATTGCAATTTGCCATTAAGTGTCAATAAAATGACCTCAAAAAAAATTGTATTTGTTGGGTCGTTTGCGTCACATAATCACTATTGGAGGATGAGTGCATTTAGGAGTACAGCCAGAAATATAAAATCAAAGATGTGAGATGCAATAGAGATGGGAAAAAAGTGGACCCAGATTCATAGAATGACCCATATGTAACCAAACAAAATCAAGGTTGAACTTCTGATCAAAACATCATCATGAGTAAAAACAGCCAACAGGAAAAAAGACCAACAGATTTTAGTTTGAACAAGGGTAGGACTTTTCCTTAAAAAAAACACCTGGAATAAAAGCCTGGAATCGAAGAAATAAAATGTATAAATTGGACAGCAAACACAAAAATAAGGTTACAAAAAAGCCTGGAACAGAGTGGTTAGCCAACAAGAATCAAAAGGAACAAGGCTTGATATGAAAAACATGGTTGGTAGATTTTTAAGAGAGTGATTGTTGGCGCACAAAGTTCTCTGCGAAAATATTGAACTGCTGGCTTTTGGTAAAAAGAACAAAAACTCTTGAACCAAAATGCATATCCAACAAGAACTGGGCTTAGTAAAGCTGAATAAATGTAAAAATTGAAACGGTGAGTCAGAACAGAACTTAGTAAAGCTAAATAAATGTAAAAATTGAAACGGTGAGTCAGAACAGAACTGAACTACGTTTTAATGCAAACAGCATGAAAATGAAACCACTATGGCCGGGCCAGAGTTGGCAGAACACCTGAATTCCCTAAGGACAATTATTTGATCACTGATTTGAAACCAAAACAAAAACTTGGTACAATGTAATTAATTAGATTGTAGTGTCAACACTACGCCAATTTTGAAGGAACAGAACTTCCAAAACAGGAAACGCAGAACATTAAAAGCACCAAAATATCAACAAAACAAGATGGTTGAAGTTTTGAAACTTACCAATTGCTAGTGTTCTGTATGTATAAAATTGCCACGAACAATCACGACTTTGAACCTAGGACGAATCTTCCCAAGCATGAAGCCATATGCATTTACCAGTAACCTATCCCGACATTATTTATTTGTCACAACTATTTACAATAATTTAAATACTATATAGATACTTTTTTAAAGCGTGGTCTTAGAAAAAACCCCAAAATGTCCGACCTTACTTTAGATACGGTAAGGTCAGACTGCCGTATAATTTAACTTCAAATGTTTGCCCTTTCTTTTCTAATTACCCTACGAAATTAGGGACTAAAAAAATTCAAGATAAAGTGAAAATTGCTTGCCTGAATTTCCATTCCAACTGCCTTTTTGGTGCAGAGTCCTTTGAAACTAATTTGTTTGGTGCAGGAACTCTGACATACAGGTGTTTGCTTATAAGTTATAACCTGCCCTCTGGATTCAATACCTAACCCTTCTCTGTTTAGTACTCATTCAGGTTTCTTCTCTATCCTACACTAACATGGAGCTTTCAGTAAGATGATCCTAACACTCAATCTAAGCTTGTCTCGCTGTCAATCAGCTTAACATTCATCAAGTCTACGGAAAGCCTTGCAAATCTTTTCACAAAAGGTATCAAAGAAAGTACCTTGCTTCTCATTTTAAGTAGGACCTCAGACTGAACAAAAGCATACCCTCCATGTGACTACTTTTAACACTACAACTTTCAAGTAGTACTGTTTTCCAAAGATGCCTCCTTAACAGAAGAGTCAAAGTGGATCCGGAGGTTCACATGAAGCTGCTCTAAGCTGCCGAGTCCACTTGGGCCGCAGCCAGCGAAGCCCCACTTCCTCAACCAGGTCTATACACAGACACATCCCTATCCTAGTCTACCTAGGCACTACTGTTCTATGCTTATGATCGCTTGAGTGGCTGTGTTTCAAGGCCGCTCCTGCCTGATGGCCGCTGCTACTGTTACTGATCTCCGGCAGCTCCGTGTGGCTGCGAGCTGGGAACCATCTGTAATCGGCCGAGGTTTTACGGACCGAGCCTACGGATACCGTGGCTTGGGGGTTGGAGACTATAAAGATATGAGGGAAAGGTATTAAGGAACTCAGATATGTAACCTATGATCTATAGATCTACGCTAATTTCTGAAAAGATAAACTGGTCAGTGCACACTGATGCCTACAAATTGTTTCTGTTTCAAGACGCTGTTTGGCAGGAGAATAAAATAGTGCATGCTGAAATGGCTTCTGCTTTGTTACATGTATACACTAAAATATGACAACTCATCGACAAGGTTTTTTGGGGTGACTCAGTGACATTTGGGCAATTTACATTCCAAATTGCCCTTAAAAAAAAAAAAAAAAGGAAAAAATGTGACCAGTTCTTAAATTTCTAAGCTTTCTGTTGAACTGCTAAACACCTTATGCTTAGCAATTTACCACTCTGTTCTTAGCAGCTACATGTAAATCCTGTCTGCTAAGTATCTTAACAGTTTTTGCTCAGCATCTTAACATCTTTCTCCTAGCATCTTAACACTCTCTGCATATCAGATAAACACTCTCCTGTTGCATCTTAACAATCTTTGCTTAGCATCCAATTTCGTGCTAAGCATCTAAACACTTTCTGCATATCATATAAAAATTCTCCTCTAACATCTTAACACTCTGCTTAGCATTCTATTTCCTGCTAAGCATCTTAAAACTCTCCGCCAAGTGGCACAGTGACTTACCACCTGCTGCAGGCCCTTGTGGAGGTCCCTCTGATGCCTTGATACGGCTAGTAGCCGCCGTGGTAGCCACCGCCCGCGTGGTGGAGCTCCGGGGGTGGTGCAGGGGGCCTTGCCTGTCCCTGTCCTCCCGCCTGTCCCGCTCCTCATCGTGGGGCTTGGAGCTGCCCTGGGGGTTAGATGAGTTAAAGAGTTGGGCTAGTCGTGGATTGGAGCTGGCCTGAGGATTACACGAGCAAACGATGGAGTGCTTTTTACTGGAGATTGATCCATGCATGACAGTGTGGTAGTACATGTTCATTGCAAAGCCTCACAAAAGTCCTCAAAAGTCCATCACGAGTCATGAAGTCATAAAACATGGTTTTCAAATGCACTGTGACAAAGGTTTATATCATTATCATTGTTGATCACGTTGTACTTGTGAATTGGGTTGTGACGGGCCTCAATTGCAACACTGATGCCCAAGTACCCCTCAACAGTGTTAAAAAAAAACACTGATGGAAACGTAAAGGTGCGTTCCTTTGCAAAGACATGGCCACGAAATGACCATAAAGTTTGAAATTGCCATTTTGCAGTACGGGGAAAAGCCGAAATTTGAAAGGCCTGTTTTCATCCCATTCTATTGGTTGATTATTCTTTCAATGTAATACAACAGCTAAATTTGTAAATATTCCATTTTCTCAAAAATTACTTTGACAACTTCAATCTAGTTGGTAGTCTATATTTCTGTTACTGAACTCGGTACCCCTAAATGAGCTACACCATTTGAAAGCTCTCGTCCTGCAGAATCTATAAATAACAATATTTCACTTCTTAAAAAGTTTGACTTTATGCTCATTTTGTAGTGACAGGCCACATATTTGGAGCAGGGTTAATATGTCAATATTTTTTACTTGCTTACAATTTTGAGAAGATTCCAGTCAAAGATGTAGTCGTAGGTGAAGCCTTGCCGGTGGAAGAGATTGCGGAAAAGCTGTCTGAGAAAGGAGTAGTCGGGCTTCTCATCGAATCGTAGCGACCTCGTGTAGTTTAGGTATGTGGCAAATTCAGCTAAAGAAGTAAAGAAATAAAATAATTACGACCGACAACTGTACAAGAAATCATCACAAAATCGTTTATTTCATGTATTGAGAAACACCATTCAAGATGTTTTACCATGGTAATGACACTTAAAATGTTTGCATTGTGACATGGTTTGAAAAGAGTTGCCTAAATCAATGTTTTATTGAAAATACGAGCAATGCTGAGAAATTCGAAGCAATGTAATGAAGGAGCCTCTAAAAAAGCAAACATGTTTGTGTTTGACCCCTAAGAACAGTTAATTCCTGAAGAAGCACGTCACATTACAAGATGAAGTGCCCTTGAATAACATTTAACATTCATTAACACAAGTACACATTCTCCAAAACAACCACAGAAGAACTTGACATAATGCATCTTCCACGATCAACTGACACTTTTTTGCCATTTGGCCTCAATCCTCCAAAATCTTCCAAAACCGCCTGGTTGATTTTGGAGGATTGAGGAGGGTTAGGGTTAAGAAAGAAGGGTGTTGGTAACCTTATAATTTGGGAAAGTATACAAAATAATTTCCAACTCTGGCTTCCTATTATGGCAATTTTGATGTTCAATTTGACTAAATCTACTGAAACAAAAGCCAGACACCTCGCTGAGGTTTTCGGAAACCCTCGACCCCCATACATTCTTTGACTGCTAAGCTTACGTGGGAAGCCAGAACAGAGTGTCTCAATGGCCGTGGACATCTTCTTCTCGCTGATCTTCTCATATTTCTGTCTCTTGGTGGCAGCCTTCAGGCCCTGCCAGGGTAGACTGCCCAGGTTGAAGTACATCAGCATGTAGCCCAGTGATTCCAGATCATCTCTCCGACTTTGTTCTGCAAAGGATAAATAACAATGATAACAATAAACCAACTTAAATCATCACATGAGATTATATATTATGAAATATGAAATTCTGAAATATAACCTCCAGCACATAAATTGTATTTATCATCTGGGATGCCTGTGCATTTTAGCTCCAGGGCCAGAAAACTTTGCAACAATACCACACATTATACAAGTACATGTACGTACCGGTACATGTATGTTGACAATGAATGTACAATACATTTGTGTAACGCGCCAGGCACCAGCATGGTGATCGTAATGGAGCATCACATGCAAAAATGTTCCAAGACTCGCACACCAGTATACTTTGCTTTTGAAATAACGATCACCGTACAATCTGATTGCGTTGATCGATCCTACTTTGCAGGGGCCTAGCGCACTCATAACAAGTAGCGCGTAACCAATTTTCTGACTGTACAATTAGAGATTGAAATTCAACCTAAACCCCTCCCTACTTTAAATAAAAAAGTACAAATGTTACACAAAATTTATCTCTTCCTTTACAATAATGAATAAAAAGACCCTCTAAATTTCTAAAATGTATCAGGAAATGTTAAGTGTAAAATATTGGAAAAGAAAGATCCTCTCAAGTTTAAGGAAAAATTGGTTGGAACGGAAGAAAGAAAGAGGCAATAGCCTCCGCATCATCAAATATTAAGTCTCCTCATGAGACAGAGAGAGCTCATGGCCTCAAGATGCTCGGCAAATCACTGCTTCAAAGTCTGGTCTAAAATCCCCCATCATTCAACGAGTATTTACTACTTCTTATCCTCCCGACAATTTATTGCGAAAATCATCACACTGCAGCAGACAGGAAACTAATATTGAAATACAGTGCAGTGCTATCATACATGTAACAGCTTATTCAACATGAGAACGTAAGGCATTATTTGTGAGACCAATTGCGAGATACAGATGGGTTGTTTTTTTTCCCCTTCTTTTTTCGAGTTGACATTTAGCAGTGAAAGGCAATTCTAAAGTTGTATTCTTAACAGCCTTCAATGATTAGAAGAAATTTCTTTTGGGTAGTTTATCTAATTCGTAGCAAAGGCGCGAATATGAATTCATAGCGTGACCACTTTTCAACTGAGGCAAGTTTCAACATGAATATTTTATGACGTCAACTTGCCTCACATTTGCATTCCAAGACAGATTTACCAGCCTTTATGAAGGATTGCCATAAAACATACTGACAAACTATTTACACAAAAGCCCATTTCTCAAAAGTAAATGTGTAACAATGTATTTGGAGAACCCCTGGCACCGTTGACATTCAGAAAATCTGATCCAAACTTAACGCCTCCTCCTCCACCGTGATCTATTTGTGATTCCGCCAAATGTTTCAAATATTCCGAGGGCATCAATCAAAGGACTAATATGACACAGCATTGAAAGCGGATCCTAATAAACTATCTGGAGGGCTGGATGACAGCAAAGGTAATACATCATGAATCTCGGGAGGTTGTTCAGATTGGGGACTCTGACCAACATTAGAAACTCGACCAACAGGTAAAATCAATGGTTTATTTCTCTGGAATTGTTTTGAAAGAACCAGGTGTTGAAAGGCAGGTGTTGGTTTTGCTAATTGCAGACCCACACTTGAGCCACAGAGAAATGAATGGGTGTCTCTTCGCAGGAGAGTTTTGAATTTGTTGTTCAGTGCCATTTTTCCCAAGCAAGAGTACTTCATACAACATGTTGGCCACCCTGCTTTTCAATATAAAGCATTTTTGCTTGGCTGGACAAACCTGTCCAAATATTGGCTGAAACTGAAAAGAACAAAGGTAACATAACACTCACATGGCAATAGCTAACACAATGTACCGGTACACACATACATACATGTATTGTTGATGTACCCTAACGTGGCGCGGCCCCTAACGTTTTAACTGAAATTTCACAGAAAGTGAAATTTCATCAAGTTCTAAACACTCCCGTTCATAAATTGCGAGTTTATTTACCCGCTACAAAGTTAAAAGAAAAATTTATTTTGGCGTGATTTTCCGATTTTATTTTCAAGTGCAAAGTGAAACCTTTGAAATGCCCCGAAAAATAAAAAAATAATTTTCTGACTAACATCTGGCTGGGTATGTAAGTAGAAATAATAATGATTTATCAGAATTGATCAAGTTTACAGAAATTCTTAAATGTTAATTTGGAATTTTCCGAGATTTATTTAAGTGCACCACGTTAGGGAACACTCCGCCAATTTGTGCCCAATTTCCGGACGCCACTGTTTTTAAATTTTGGCTTAAATTTTATGAAACCAAAATTGTTCACGGAGGTTAAATAGCAAGCATTAATAAGGTAAAAGTACCAGTATTTCACTGCATGAATTTGAGGTTTGTCAACAAAGAGGTTTGGCAACACTACACGAGGAAAGTTGGGTAAGCTTCGAAGTGCGCCACGTTAGGGCACACGACTATATATGTACATTTTTTGTACATGAAAGACAAAACAGGGATTTTTGTTTGCAATTGATATTTGCACTTGGATTTTGAAGAGATCCTTATATGGTTTGATGAAAACTCTTTCTCCACTTGTGTTAGACATACTTGGCCAGCCCTCGAGACTTGAGACCTTGACTTTTAAATATTGACCAATCACATGATAAGAAAACCATTCGCAAGTTATTTTTTTTGTGCTGGGCTTATTTCTGGGTTTTTGTTGTGTGCTGGGCTTATTTCTGGACTTTGTCAATCCATGAAATTGACCCCAGATGTTTTCTTCAAAGTCCCCACTCAAGAATGGACCTCTGCTGTCCGGAGTTTATGACTTATCGTCATTAATTAATTTTGAAAATTCAACCAATCCAAACATCTAGGGCCAATTTCATGGAGGTATTAAAGGTAGGGTGGGACCATTTGCAGCTATCCAAAAAGTAACCGACCAATTTTTTGTTAAAAAAGCTTACTTTTTAACAAAATATAAAAGATAATGGCACTTAAGTCTTCGCGAAATTATTCTTTCTGGCATGCTGTCATTTTGAAGAAAACAATAAAAGAAGGTCATTACTAAAAATGCGTCAAGTGACACATTTTTGAAAATTGTCATTGGCAGTTGGTTTGTAATTGGGAAAATCCGTAAATGGGTGCCAGCGCTGTGACACGACGCACATGCGCAGTTGAATCATTGGTTCAGTGTGTGACATCACATACATTGTAGCAACAATTGGCTGGTTGAGAAAAAATGTCCCGAATGCTGATTTTCGAGATTGTATCATGAGTCAGCAAATTTTGAATTGAAATCGAGATCCAGAATATTGTATTTTCTCAAAAAAGACAGCACTCACAGAGCTAACGCTTCATCAGGTTAGTTGTTAAGCACCCGTCTTTAGAGTTTGAGCACTTTTGTTGCTTCAAACGAAAAAAAACCAAAACAATGTACCAATGACAAAATGGTCTACTCTGCCTTTTTTAAGTACAAATATTGGCTAAGTGCAGAAAATATTTTCTAAAGAGAAACAGCTTATGAACCAAAATGTGATGTGATAAAACTGGTCAGCGGATTTAAGCACGGAAATTTTCGGGAAAAATGTTGCAACCTGACGCCACTTCAGCTGTTGTGTACAAAGTCTATGGAGAGTCAAGAAAATTTTTAAGTATTTCCTAACAAAATAGGAAATGTTTCTCAGTCCCAGATTCATGTCTTATCATCATGCAATAACTGACCTTCATTGAGATGATGTTTGAAGGAAAAAAGTGGCGTCAGGTTGCAACATTTTTTTCCAATTTTCGGAGAGATATTTCATGTTGAAATTGGGCTCTGGCCGCGTCCGAATTACTTGGCTTCGGCTGGAAACAACACACACGTCTATGGGAAGTGGCTGCAGCCGCTTCCAAAGTAATTCCGGACACGGCTTCTGTTGCATCACGGGCAATTAGAACTTTCCTCTACTCACCAATGCCTAAATGTGTGTTAATGCTGGCGTATCTGGCCGTGCCCGTCAGGTTCTTGTTCTCCCTGTAGGGTATGTGCTGGTGCGTGTGGACGTCGCGGTACTTCTTGGCCAGGCCAAAGTCGATGATGTAGACCAGGTTGCCCTTCTTGCCCAGCCCCATCAGAAAGTTGTCGGGCTTGATGTCCCGATGGATAAAGTTTTTGTTATGTACATATTCAACACGGCTGATCTGTGGTTAAAATGGGGAAGAAATTGTGAAAAAGTTAGGAAGGCATGGGTTTTCAATGCTGGGAGACTCTCTCTCAAAGTTAGAGCAGTTTGAAGGTTGCTCAAAATAGAAGTTAACTTGGAGATCAGGACAAGGGTGAGTGAGAGATGTGTGCATGTACATGTACATGACGTGGAGACAGTGTTCTATCCAGAGACCCTTTCACCTTTTAAGGTAAAATATAATTTGGGATGGGCCCTTTGGAAATCGGGAAGAAAAAAAAATAGAGGGCAGATTTTGGCTCAAGAGGTATATAGACAAATCCAAGCACGTAACTATTCTATCACAAAGGCCCCCTTCAATGGCAAAAGCATTGTGCTAGCTATTGTTCAAATAATCGGTCACAGGGCAGTTACTTTATACATGTACAATAGGGTACACAATGGTTTCTCCATTGAAGGGGGCCCTGTGAGAGTATGGTGATCACGTGCCCGGATTCGTCTATACTGTAAGTTTTCAAGAGTACTTAATTTGTCTGGACGATAAAGATGAAATATACCTTGTTAACTCTAGCTGATAATCATTGATATAAATTTACTTTGCGGATGCCAAGTGTGTTTGCATTTTCTGTGATCGGCATCTGATAAGACCAATGTGTACACGAGGCAGCAAGGGTACCAGCATACTGTGCGCTTGGTACCACAGAGACGCTGGTACGGGTCCCTCCCCACCCAACTGTTAAATTTTCTGAGCCAGAGTCAGGATGGCACTTTAGATGAAACACTCTGTGTGGGAATAGGCTGGAGTAGGTCTGGGTGGGTCTTTGTTACATGGGGTAAAGTGAGAAATTCAGACTAGAGAAGGCAAAGTCTCTAAATTCAAGATGTCACTTGGCTTGACATGTACATGTAGTATGTACCTTGTGACCAATTATATCCAACCCAGGACATGCAGGATGAATCATAAGAAAAGCTAAAAAACTACATGTATTTTAGTTGAACATGTATTTCTGAATTGCTCGATTGCTGATCTAGTATAATTTTCAGATCAGCAAAGATCAGCTTCCTAATTCAAAGACTTGAAATAATTTTATTCCATCCTTCTGCAAAGTTCAAAAGGCAAGATTCACATTCACACATATGAATCTTTTTCATAATTTCTCCCAGTTGAAAGATCCCGTCATTTTCTGGGTTAAACTGTACATGTAACTGACAAGCATGAACTATGATTCAGTGTCCCCAGACGGGTGCGTCATTAAGATTTTTCTACTTGATCGCATTCCTGGAAAAGTCTTTATGTCTCTCTTTTTTTTTATCCAGACAAGAACACCTACTTTTAGCATGAAATTATGATGAACATGTAAATTGGCTCGACTGTTGGTAGATCGTTTGCTATCGGATGTGTCAGACATCATGTCTGTAGGCGTTATTAATGCATTGTCCTGACTCTAGTCAGGTGCGGCAGGCAGGGGAGCGTGAAGATTCGTCTGCCGCTGCAATCTCGCTATCACCACTCAAGGGTGTCCGATGGCTGAAAGGAGGACGGGTGTTCTCGTTTCTAAGAAATGTTCTCAGTCTGCTTCTAATACTATAGCAAATGTCTTAGAACTGGCTGCCAGTAGGTGGTCTAGTTTTGCCAGCGGCATTCCTTCGCTGGATAGGTTTCACTTGTGAAGGCACAGGTTTCTGTGTACTGTTAGGTTGTCAAAATAATACCGGTACTTTCCTTGCCTTAATCCTCTGGTAGTCTGTTTAAAGTGGACATGACTAGTCAGCAAATCATCTGGATTTTCTTCAGAATAAACCTCCTTCAGTGTGTACCTCAAAGAACTCTCAAGTAATGTATTTAGTTTAGTGATGAGATTTTTTTTTCATAGGGTTGTGAGCAAATGCAACATATTGTGCCCTAATCCACCACCAAAAATGTTTTTTCTCATAATCCAAAAATGTCTTATTGGCAAACTTATTGTCCAGTCTTGCTCCCTTGAGACAAGGTTTACATGTACAGTCACCCTAACCCTGCTTTAACCGTACAATGTAACTCCCAACTGAGTTTTACTTTGTCTGCCAAAATCCATCACTGACTGCGTTTCACATAATGCTTCAGGACCAAATCTGCCGAAATCCACCACAAATCCACCTGGTACAGGTGGGTTTTGATGGACTTGGTACTTATGGCTTGCCTGTCAAAATCCCCCAAAATTGGGGGATGGATTTTGATGGAGTTGGGACGGTTAGGATAGGGTTAAGTGTTTGCCAAGGACCCTGCTGAAATCCAACAATATCTGACATCTACAACAAAACATCTTCTGCTCGGGTCACCAAATTCCAACAAAATGTTGTAACTTTTCATCTGATTCACCGACGGGGTTGAAGTTTAAGAAAGGTAAGAAAATCATTCTGGCAGTGTATGAGACTCATTTGATGCGACTCAAGATTTGTTTTTGTTTTTTTAGAACAGAGTACATCTTATTCCAATATTTACCAACTGATCAGCCAATAATAGCACTGTCTTTAAGCCAAACTGCCGCGAGCAGAAGTTGAAGAGGTCCTCCAGGCTTGGGCCCAGGAGCTCCATCACCATCACGTTGTAGTCTCCCTCTGCACCGCACCATTTGATGGACGGGATACCCACTGTGACACACAGATAAAACAAAAGGGAGCAATTAAGAACGGGAATTATCAACCCTCCCTCTTTGGCTGGCAAATTTAACAAAGCTATCCAAGCAGTCAAAAACAGACAAGCGACTCTTTTAACACTTGAGCGCTCCCTGCCTACATAAAGCAGGAATGACTTGCTATGAATGGTTTTTCAACTTGACACAGCTATGCTTTGACTGCAGGTGTCTGATAAGCCAGTTGCACCTACATGTACATGTAGGGCCTACCAGTTACCTGCTTTTGCCTGGTTGGAATTTGACTAGTCACAGTGCCTACAAGAATATGATCGAGTGTTGATGACTAGCATATGTATGAGGTATGGTAGGGGAAGTCGATTGAATTTTTGACTGACTGTGACTGCTCAGACAAAAGGTTAAACGGCGATTCTTAATTAACCAAAGAAAGCTCGACGGAAATTGAAGGAAAGAGGAGAACAACTTAATGATTTTAAGTTCCTTCGGAAACAAATAAGCCTCTGTACTGATGATGTCACACTTTGTTTACAATGTACATGCGCACGTTCCTATGGAGCCAGTGGGGGCCCACGGTCCACTGAGCACCATAGGAAAGCACACACGTAAACAAAGTGTGCCGTCATCAGTACAGAGGCTTATTCATTCAGCTGAATTCAATTTTAGAAACTGATTTCAGATTTGGACATTTCAAGCAAAAGGTATTTTGTGATACCTGTACGAATTATTTGAAATGGATTAAATTCAAATTAATTCCACATAAAATTAACAGCTTTTCGAAGGTCATGTTTATTAATGCATAGTGGGTGAAAGGAAATCAATGAAGAGGTTTAGGAAGCTATATGTTAACATTGGCTATTTCCACATCATTTTTGAAACTGATTTTTTTTAATGTACTATCCTAAAGATGGTTCAAAAGGAACTCTATATATTCAAGAACATGTATTTCTCACTATTTATAAGATGGAATTTGCGTCAGGGTGATGTAAATTCAATATTACATGTAGGTTTTGCCCTTCATCAACGTATTAATACTGTATCTCAATTACAAAACTAACTGACTCTCAGACTAACTGAGATACGTGTAAAGGAAGTCAAATTATCCTTTTCTAAATATAGCACGATTTAAATGAATAAAGTAGTCACAATGTCAGCTTAAATCTGAGGGAAAACAACTTTAATTTTATACTTGACAACTGGTTGAAATTACGTGTATGCCTCATGTATGTGAATCTGCAGATTAGTATTGGCCAGATTTTGTGAGAGTGCACTGGCCTATATCACAATGACAAAAAACCCTGCATTTACATAGTTGAAGATCCTGATAGAAGACCACTAGCACGCTTCATCTGATAGAAAGGGTTAAGGGGATTAGGCAAAGTGCTCGGACAAAAACATCCGCCAACAGAAAAAAAAGAAAACCCATCCTTGAAATGTCTGCACAGATCTGTTGCCCAAACGCTTGGAAACATCACACCCAATCGAGCCAGCCTCTAGCGGATGAACTGGCCACTGTAAACTGGCTGCTAAAATATCAAATTGCCACCCACAACATGAAAGGATGTTACAAAGGGCCTTTCAAAGCAGCTGTTCTCCTGTTTCACATTAGCAGATCTGCAAACCCTACGTTGTCCTTTCAGAAAGAACATGGCACAGTGCAGTACAGTATATCTACGTTCATGTCATGTAGGACATTAAAAAACAATCTTTGTAAAACTCCCACCAAAAAGAAGAAGAGAACAATGCTTAAACTTGGCATGTCAGTACAATCAGCTCAAAGAGTTTAAATCTCTACGGTATCTTGAATAACGAACAAAAAATAGCAATTTTCCCTACTTGAAAAGGAACACCCTTGTTTTCACTGCATGAGAAAAGCAAAATAAAAATTCAGTTCTTGGTAGTAAAATACATCCGCAGGACTGGATTCCGTTGCCAATGCACTTTAAAAAAGTATGTCCGCGGGCACATGTAAACATACAGTACATTTCAAGAATGGACACATACTTTTTTACATACAATTGAACAATCAATTCAAATGAACAATCCATGTGTGTGTATGTAAATTTGGGGTGGTATGCTAGTGGCCACAATATCACAAACTCGACATGTTGAGCTCCTTGAATGTCTAACTCTAAAATCTTAGTGCACGTACACGTTCACCCGAGCTGTATTCTTTAAAATCTAGAGAGAATCTAAGAGGAAACAATAAACTAGAGGGCATTTGTCATGTGTTTGTTGGTTCTCCCTATTTCTACACTCCGAACCATTCGTCCAAAGACGATTTCAGCGGGTAGATTTCATGACGGAAAGGATGTCACATCTTCCAAAGCTCGGATTTCTCCCCCAGTATCCAGTGTGTATAAAAGGTCAGCAGGCCTTGGGGGGGGGGGGGGAAGAAAAAAATGTAAATCAACGATGTCTGCAGGACAACATCCATCCATTCCGCAGCCGAGGTGCTTACTCAGTAAATGAATGCGCAGCCACGTACACGTACTACGACACAGTGCGTGTAGACAAAAACACAGTAAACCGTCTGATGACGCCATGCACATCCCGGAGAGCTCCATGGTCCCACCGAGAAATGCAAATTGCCGTGATTTCTCCCCCCCCCCCAGTGCAGGATTAACATCAGGCACAATTAATTATCTGATTCCAAGGAGATTAGGAGGAAAACCTGTCAGTGTTATGACGGCATATTTGTTTACAAATGAGATGTTAATGTGTATACTGCAATATTTATCATCATTGTGAGAAGAAACAAACATGTGTTAGTGAAACAAAAAAAGAGGTCAATGCACACGTGTATCTGTTTTTATTTTTGACCTTTTATTCTCAAAAACAAAATGTTAATGTAAAAATTATTGGTAAAATATTGCTAAGAAACTAGTAATTTAGAAAGATTGACCAGAAAGGAAGAACTGCACTGATTCATTTACATACATGTAGAGGATTTTTAATTAAATACTGAACTGTAATGACTGTAGCACACATTCATGTCAATAACGACGACTGGTTTCCCATGGTTATGTTTTTAAAATCGGCGCTGTTACATACATGTACATGTGTACATACATGTACAAACTTGTACATCATAGTTCCAACGCCAACACATACATGTAAATGGTACACATGTGCCTGTCAAAGTGTACTGAACTACATGTACATGTACATGTGCATGTAGATCTGTGTACAGTATGTGTACTGTACAAATAGCAATAAGGAGGGTATTCACATGCACTGCACATGTACAATTGTACAAAATCTGCAGCATGTGCGCTTGTATTTTATACTGGAAATACTTGTACTGTACATGTACACGTATCCAAGCTAATAATGAATGTACATGTACGTCTACTGTAAGGTACATAACAGTACGCGTGCATAATGCATGCCTGTGTGCAACTGTTCAGTCACAGTCCGCACTGTGCAGACCATAGGCTGCGTACAGGATGAGTTGCCTTCCAGTGTGGAAATAAGCATGCAGTGTAAAACGTACATGCACTAGTACACAACATGTATCATACTGAACAAAACTTATCAAGCCCTTTGGATGCGTTATATGGAGTACAACATACACTCATGGAAGTTCCCTACATCAGAATGACGTAGCAGTACTTTCCTCGCCTTCCACCGCTGTGACCCGGGTTCGAATCCCGCCTGGGCCAACATGTGGATTGGGTTTTCCAGTCCCTGCCTGATTCAGTGGGTTTTCCCCAGAACATTCTTCTGGGATTTTCCTCCCACCTCTAAACCTGTAATATCTTCTCAATGTCTCTTCTCTATAGGTTTCTTCAGGCTTGCAAGCTACAGTGTCGAGGGTGCTTTTGAGGAATCCTTAATTTCATTAGCAAAAATAAATAATAATAACAATAATAATACACCATAATAATAAAATCTTGTGATTGCAGTTATCCTACCGGTACATATCTTGTCTGCTTCCAAGTACGGAATGCACAAGATTACATTGAACTGGATCTATAACGCTAGTTTTTTCATGTACATTGTCCAACACAAGTTAGAATTCATATGTACATTTGTACATCATTAACCCTAACCGCCCTGAATCCTTCAAAATCCTCTTTGCCAAAGTGGAGGAATTTGGAGGATTGAGGTTGTGTATGTATGGCAAAAGTGTGTTACTAATTTTGTAGGATGCACTTTGTCAAGGTTTTGGGCCAGACCTTGTGTTGTTTTTGCTCAGCCATGCATAAATATAGGCCTGGAATATGCTTGAAATCCTCCGTACTGCTCCAGGATGTCACTGGCCAAGCCTCAACATATTGACAGTCACTACCGCAGGATTTTGCAGGATTCAGGCAGTGGTCACCCCTCCACGGACCATATTCAAGAAACAATGGAGGAACCTGCAGGATTGAGGCTACCGGTACACATGCTATTTTTCCATGAGGCCAATTGGAGGATTTTGCAGGATTGAGGCTGCATGTAGCAGACCAGTAAATAAACTTCCATAGACCCCAATGGTAAATGCTCCCACTTCAAAAATTCGGGAAAAATACTCACAACTCTCCAAGGTGTTCGAGACGCACATCAAATTAAAGCTTATTTCATCATCTTTCATTTTCTTTTCAATTTTCGGGGGGTCAACTGATGACTTTTAGGAGAAATTTCCATCTGAAGATGATCACCCCTGAAAATAGTCCTGAAGTCCATCGCCATTTTGAAAAACGATGCCTACACTCCATTGCAAAATAGAGCGCTTTTAGGGTCCAAATTACATCCAAATTACACAGAACTGCAAGCTCCCAGTCCTGTGCACGGCTTCCACCCATATTTTTTACTAACCTTCAAGTTCATGGCCCAAAGCATGCCCAAATACCGAAGATTTTGAGGGCATGCAAATCGTGATTTGGCCGGCGCAGGCAATTTCGGACCGATTTACTGGTCTGCACCCTGCAGGATTGAGGCTACATCCTAGCAAAAAGGCCTAGGGAGTTAGGGTTAAAAAAAAAAGCCACAATTTAGATAAAAGGATTTTACTGA